CCGATTACGGAATCGACTTAGAAAATTTAAGTGACGGTATCGTAATTTTTTACAGGAAATTCAGATAGAAATTACGGAACGCTCCGGAAAAATTCCGTGACAGTTCCGTAAAATTTCCTACAACCACATTTCGCTCCGGAATTACGGAAAAGATACGTAATTTTTATTGAATATTTCTCTTCGTGCAGTTATGTTTTTCAATATTAATTAATTGGTGAGAAGTCGACTTCCACGGATCCACTGGGGTGGTTTACCACCCGATCCCCATTGCTGCATTCGCCTTTCATTAGAAATGCAACAGCAAAGTGTCACGTCTTTATGATATCATCTCCTGAGCGGATTTATACCCATGCGATTGCAATTTGCGCGGTTGAATTGAACGAAAAATTCATTTAAACACTAGGAGAAACGTTGACAATGTTTAAAAATTCTATTTTTAAAAAACTTTGTAGTTTCCTTTCTATTGAACTTATTTAAAAAAATGGAATGGCGTTGTCACATACAGGCGCATACACCTCCTGTACCGTCCTTCTACAGATACACTGGGGTAGTTTATCACCCCACGGCCATTGCTACATTCACCATGCATTAGACACGCATTGGCGAAGTGTTACATCTTTGTGATATTCCTTCCTGAACAGACACCCGTAGGATTGCAATTTATGCGGTTGAAATCAACGGAAAATTCAGAGGGGCCATTCATTTGGAAATGCGGTAACACAGTGATTGCTGATTTAACGTGATTTCAGAGAGATTTCCATGATTTCATGCAATCGTTGATTTCATGTGATTGCCTGAGATTTTTTTGGTGATTTCGCGATATCAGACGATTTCAAGTGATTTCAAGTTTTCGATTTCATCGATTTGGCGGAGGAGGGGGGAATGAAGTAGGAGGGAACGGGGATAGAACCCGGAGGAAAAAAATTTATCATATTAATGCAAGAAGACTCAAGCATGAGAGTTACAAAGGGAGTGAATGTAGGGATGAAACCATCAAGGTGAAGCCATAAGAATCAATTTTTTTTCATTCATTCGATAAAATACCTATTTATTCAATAAAATAGAGAACAACGTACATTTCATATATTCAACTAAACGAAATAAACTCTCTACTCTGATCAGTAATGAACGGATTTTGGAATTAGAAACATTTAATAACTTCTTTATATATCTTTTCATCTATTTCTAAACCTTTCTTGGTAACCACAGGGTAGGAAATTGTCTGGCGATATTGACCAATGGCCACATAACCACGAGTAGTCATCGGTTGAAGTTCGAGACTTTTTAAATAAAAATAATACACGTAAATGGGCATACGTACAAGAATACACCACAAATAAGTCGAAAGTTTCTTTTCCTTTTATATATTCGTCAGGATCCCATGAGTTACTCATTTCATGATTTCATGAGAATTCACCGATTGCAAGTGATTTCAATTGAAATCACGTGACATCGATGAAATCCTAGGATTTCACTGACTTCATACTATTTCAATCCTGAGTAACACGGTGATTTCACAAATAAATGGCCCCTCGGCTCAGTCACTGTTGACCCTATCCTGATCAGTCAAACCTGGTGAAATTATAGACTTAACATTCCTGCTCCAATTCGAATCGGAAACATCTGTCATTCTTGATCAGTTAAAAAACCACCTATTTCAACCTTTTTTGAAATTCTGAAATTTTTGCCAAATATTCATTTACTTGAAAGAAGCATTTATTTCTTCAAAATTGTATTTTTCCAGTCGAGTCAGTCCCAGGCGAGCCTGATTAGGTTTCAATTACGACAATCATGTTGCTCTAGAGGATGACTATGTTGCACATGACCTTGGATTAACTCCTCCAATGATTATTCATTTTTCCTAAATTTCTCATTTTCTAAGGGGAAGAATTTCGATTAATTTTTTTAATGTTGATAATTATTGCGGGAGTTCACTCAAGGTCGTAATTAACATGATCATTTTCTACAGCAATATAATTGTCATAATTAAAACTTAATGACAATTGCCTGGCAGTGACTCGATTGGAAAAATACGGCATTCAAAAAGTAAATACTTCTCTCAAGTCAATGGATATTTAGCAAAAATATTTTTTTTCTCAGTATAGTCTGAATTCAGAGTATCTTAAATGACACACCCCAAATTTGGAATGGTCCGTGATGGATTCTTCTTTTCGGGCTTCTCACTGAGCTGTACAAAGTACATTCCTCGCAGTTTCACGGTAATAGTGAAGAAATTCACACGCCAGTGTTATTACGATCCTCGGTGAGTAAACAGTGCATGAATCACGGGTGACAAAGACCCAAATTAGTACAGGTTACCCGCAGGTGTAACGGTTAAATTCTCGATTTTCGCGATTCTCTAGACTCTCTCGATTAGAAGGCCTCTCTAACAAAATCTTGAAAGGTGTACACTCTTTATTTTTTCATTTATTTTTGCTTCCGAGTGGAAGCTTTGCAATCGATCAAATTTAAATTTTGAATTTTTCATGTTATATCGACCCATTATCCCCCACACGGAGAGAAATATTCAGTAAAAATTACGGAACGCTCCGGAAAAATTCCGTGACAGTTCCGTAAAATTTCCTACAACCACATTTCGCTCCGGAATTACGGAAAAGATACGTAATTTTTATTGAATATTTCTCTCCGTGCAAAAAGACCGAAATAGTATATTTCGTAACGAGTGCTAAAAAACATTTTTTCACGAGTTACGAACAAGATTTTTCATCACAATGTGGCGGGAACACTTTTCGTCACAGCGTGATGAAAATGCAATTTTTAGATCGTGTCTGCATGTGCGTGCGTATGTAAACAAAATTTTCTTCGATTGCTCGCTAATGAATCGATGGAATTGATTTTTTTTTCTCAAATTTAGGTATTGTTGAGCCCTATCTATCGCTATCAATTAAGATTAACTTAATTTATGAGTTTTTTAAATTGTGGAATTTTTTCAAAAATGGTTTTTTTCACGATAACAAAACAAAGAAATTTTTAAGAAAAAAAAAGAAATTTTGTTCAACAAAAATAACATTTTATTTGTGATTGCACGGAACAAAATAAAGTTTCGCATTGCACGGGAAGCGTAGTAACTCGAATATGCGATAACGCGTTGCTTACACGTCTTATTTAGATAGACGCAACGTCGTCAAGAAATCACGAAATCTCGTGTTACAACAATTCCGTTAATCCATTCTTCGTTCCTCCTCATATATCACGAGATAAATTATTTTAAAAATGATTGTCAATTCGCCATGCGCGAGAACAAACGCGATAGGGGGTATAGATTCAAATGAAGATATGAAGACGAATAATAAAAAAAAAAGATATGAAGACGATATAAAAAACACGTCTCCTTGGAAATCGTGAGCGTCCATTCACAACTGAAGAATCCCTTTTTGCGAGCATTTGAGATCTGCACATTCTATTCGCAATGTCGAGGAAAGGGCGGAGCGCGGGAGATTGGGAATGGATAGTGAATACTGTGCATAACAAACTTGGCAACATAAAAAATGTTGCTGGTGTGCAACAGCTGGATAAGGGCCCTCAGCGCCATTGGCTGAAGCCACTGAGGATCTAACACGCCTACCCAGCGTTATTCGCAAGTTCCAGGAACTCGGGGGTTTGAGATAGTGCTGGTGATGACTCGGGTAATGAGTTCATCAGAGCTTTTCCCGAATTCTTGAACCGTCTCATTACATTAATTAAATGACAAGACGCAACCACTTCGTGCGAAAAATCACGCGTGAAAGGAATTTAATAGAAACGCATTCGGTAAAAAATTTTGATACATTTTTCTTGGAAATTCTAGTGGTTTTCAATGGAAAGTATTTCATGGAAAAAATCAATAGAATTTGATCTTTTTGCATAATTCATTTTATTGGGATATTTTCTGTGGAATTTTCTCGGCATAAATTTTCAATGCTTTGTTTACTCCACGCTGAGAGAAAAATGACAAAGTTCTCAAACAAGTTTTACTTGGGCCAAGAAAATAGTTTTGGCAGTGTGTATTCACACGCTCCACGGTAACTTTGACCGTGGATATATGGGACGTTTTCCCGTGGATTCAAGGTAATTTCTACCGTGGATATATGGGAGATCGTGGACCCTCAACTTTTGCTTCTCAAATTAAATCTAGACAATAAACTAGACACATTGAATCAATTGATAAGTGATATGGAGATAGTAGACTAGTAAACAATTTTCTCGAATACGAATATCAGTATAGATTAACGCAAATAAAAAATGAAAAAAATAATTGACTAAACGCAAATAAAAGATGAAATGAATAGTATTTTACATTTTATGTGGCCGTTTTCTTATCGATATTCATATTTGTCTAATGGGGTCCGAATGCAGGAGTGGGTGCCGAAATATAGTCTAAATGATTTTAAGGGTAATCTCCCAACCAGGGGAGACTCCTACTACAGTTGGCACAACTCTGGTTTCAGAGTTGAAAACCAGAATTGTGGCAACATTTTTCAGTCGGCTCTAGGAGTCTCCCCTGGTTGAAAAATCATCTTTAGAGCCATTTGCACGCTATTTCGAAACTCGCTCTTCAATTCGGGGCCAAAGAAACATTCACATCTTGTCTGACATCTCTGCTATGAACTCTATCAAATCGATGAATTTGAGTTGTGTTAAATCAACGAATGCAATGCTGGAATGCTTGACGAGTCCAATTTAAGTGGACATATTGCTCTTCATAATGAACAGAAGCCTGACATTTTCGGAAACGCATTTCATAGCGTGAATCAGCAATTCATTCATCATCAAACCAGTGCAACTGTTCACCCTGAATCCATGTAAACCCTCTGTAAATCTACACGCGTTCCACCCAGTAGAACGTCCATGGCTTCAAGGATCCAAGGATCCGGTTCTCACTGACTCGAATTACGCACGTCTCTGAGATGAGAATTTAGAACAAACTTTTTCGCTGGGTATTTTGCAATACATGGTATTGGATGTCGTTATTCTCTAACGTATTTTTTTTTGTTTTTAAGCCGAGTGATATGTTAACCGAGGACAATGACCCGACAAAACCGGCCGGGGTGTTAGACAATGTTGGTAACGTGTCGTCATCGACGGAGGCTTCGGTACAGGGTCCACGGAATTCTAACAATGGTATTATCTTTAACATTAAGACAGATAAGTGTGTCGGAAGGAATTAGGGATGGACGATGTTTGTCGATTAATGAAAAACATCGATTTTTCATGCTCAAACATCGATGTTTTTGACCAAGCTAACAGAATTTTTAATTTTTTTGTCGAAGAATAATGTTGATTGATTGAGAATAAACAAAATAATAATTTATCCGCAATCAGAAGTAATTATTTTCTACAGTATGTATGTTATAAATGATAAGTGAACAAGTCCAGTCGTCTATTATTTTTTTGAATTAAAATTTTTCAAGTTTGTTAAATTAAGTTTTTTAACTGTTATTGTAGCTAACGGAAAATATTCAATATATTTTCTTCAATTAATCAAAATGCCCGTTTCGAGATTCAAAATTTAAATCTCCAGCAGTACTTATCATTGAAACGTAAGTTCCTCCGGTTGTATTTTTTGAATATATATTTTTTAATATAAACGAGAAGAAAAAAAAGATTGAAAAAAATTGTTTTTTCTCCTGTCTAATGAGAAAAACATCGATTTTTTAAACAAGCGATATTTTTTCCCGAAAAATCCATTCACAACATCGATGTTTTTGAAAAACATCAATTCTTCGACAATCGATGTTTTTTAGAACATCGCCTATCCCTAGAAGTAAGTATTCGTTTTTAGACATATACTATCGATCATCAATGTCTGAAAAATTTCACTCCACACTGAGGAAAATATTCACACGGAGAGAAAAATCCAATAAAAATTACCAGAAAAGAAACGTAAAAATTACGTTTTGAAACGTAATCCGCGAGCGAAATATAATTCAATAAAAAGTGTGAGTCGGAACTGAAATTGTGCGAATCGCCACGTAAATTCTACGATTTGTTCCGTAAAAATTAACCAGCCGTCTGAAGACTCGCCGCTGTAGGGACAACACGTCGTTCCGTAATTTTTCCCCAACGATTGAGAAATTTTACGGAACGGAACGTAGAAATAACTCACCAGCTCCATAAAAATTGTTGAACTCTCAAAAATTTTTGATTTTGAAGGCATAATAAGTCGGCAAGTTTCTGTAAGATTTTACTTCTTCGGGAAAAATTACGTGACAATTTCGTACTTTGTGCGGTAATGAACCTGAAAATTCACTGAACGTTTCAGATTTCTTCTCTTCCATTCCTATAAAAATTTCCGGAAAACGATTCCCCATTGCGGATTACGTGAATTGTTCCGTAATTTTTACTGAATATTACTCTCCGTGCACATAATATCACAAATTCATCAGTGTAGGTGGGAATTCCAAGCAAATGAGTCGGTTTTTTTAGTTCAAAAGTTTTATTTGACTACCAAGGAGTAACTTCCTAAAAATACAAGATTCAATTTGGAAAATTCTTTCGGTAGAAGCCGAGGTCAAGAATGAAGTCCAGGACTGTCCGGACAATGAAACCCTGCCGGACGGTGAATTGTACGTCGACGAGAATGCCGTTGAGAAGGAACAGGAGTATCCGGACTCGATGGAAAAGACGGACTACAGTACTTTATATGGAGCAAATCAGTATTATAATAGGTCAGTATCACAGTCAAACTCTGACACACTCAAATGACAAAATTGAGTCTTCATCCGTGAAAAAAAAATTGATGACATTAATACAATTTATTCTATTGAGATATTTTCTATAGAAATTCCTTGGCTCAAATTTTATATTTTTTTTGTTTGATTTTCTTGAAGAGAAAAACAGAAAACAAGAATGAAAAAAAGTGGAAAATTTTAGCCGACGAAATTCTATAGAAAAAATCTGAAAAGAATAAGTTATATAGAAAAATTGAATTCTATTGACTTTTTCAATTGAATATTTTCTATTGAACATTTCAATAGGAGCGGCCAAAAAATAATTAGAAATTGCAATAGAAATCCAATAGAATTTTCTAGCGAATTCGGAAAGTTTTTCTATTAATTTTTTTAGGACACTCTGTGTATTAAATTCTACTATTGCCTTCGATTTAATAAATTTGTGTTGAATTCGTGTTTAATAAATAAAAAAAATTATTTTCCATTTTCGAACGAAACACCTTAATCGAAAGAAATTTTTACAGTCTCTACAATTCACCCTCGTACGGCTCAACGAACTCAACGAAAAATTCGACGAGCCTCCAGAGCACGTACCTAGGCTCTTACCCGACTCCAAGTCCAATGGCACAATATTCATCGTATCCCGGTTACAACAGCAGTGGTACAACATTTTCATCGGTGAGCCAGAATATATCAAGCGCAACCCAGAAATTGGATTACAGCGCGTACAGCAGTACTTGTCTGTATGGAAATGATCGTGTGCCGTTGCAGTACTCCGGGTACTATCCAATGCCGGGGTATCACACTACTCCTTCATTCAATATTGGCAATTTGAATTTCTCAGGTATGAATGCATTCTGAAAAAACTAGTTTGAATGTGGAGGAGCACTTTTCGAATACATAAACGGGGGATTCTTCTCTCACGTCACGTGTTTTTTGGACTTTTTGGATCCCCTCCCCTCATTACAAGCCATCACAAACGCGTAGCCCGTCCCCTTCCTGTTCTCTAGATTTTCTTCGTTTTTTTGTTCATGAATTTGACTTTAGAAAAATAACAACAAAAAAGGCAACGGATTAGGTAAATAATTAATTTTTCATGCGATTCTCTTTGTTCATTGAGAATAGGGAATAATTGAGAATAGGGAATTTGCATGGCGCTCAGTTTTCCCTAATTTTCCGGTTCACCCATTCCACATCCATAGATAGCTGAACGAAAATAATTGTGGAGGAAAATTTTAAAAATTTCAAACGCTCGCATAAATTCATTGAAAAACTCATTCATAAGGCCATTATGCGTCCACCATTTGCAATTCCGCTAATTAATAGGTAGAGAATATAAATAAATTTAGAAGACACGGACGACAAAATTTAATAGAGAAACCTATCGAATTCGTTATAAAATTCTATTGAATTTCTATTGAACTGTTCTATTAGTTTTTGGTCGATTCTGTTAAGATGTTCAATAGATAATATTCAGTAGAAAAAGTCAATAGAATTCAATTTTTCTGTATAACTTATTCTATTGAGATATTTTCTATAGAATTTCCTCGGCTCAAATTTTCTAAGTTTTTTCGCTTGATTTTCTTGATGAGAAGAAAAGAAAACTAGACTGAAAAAAAATTAGAAAATTTGTGTCGAGCAAATTCTATAGAAAATATATGAAAAGAATAAGTTACATAGAAAAATCGAATTCTGTTGACTTTTTCTATTGAATGTTTTCTATTGAATATGTCAATAGAATCAGCCAAAAACTAATAGAAAGTTTAACAGAAATTCAATAGAATTTTCTAAAGAATTCGATAGGTTTTTCTATTAAATTTTTTCGTGCGTGGAGCATTTTCACTGGAGAAAAAATAGCCAAAGTACTTGGATATCCTTAATTGGTTCGAGTGAATGGATGAAGCTGCAGAGAATAGTTGATTATCTGAAACATACTTGATTGGCAGAATTATATTTTTTTCTCAGTGCATTATTAACTTGGCGACCCAAGTGGGGAAGTTGTTTCGTTTCATAATGAATATGCATTTTTCTATTGAAACAAGAATCCACTAAAGCTGGCCTTGGGCTAGATGCACCGCACCACGATCCAAGCGACATTACGGGACGAGAAGCTGTGAATATCGAAGGTAACTGTTCTATTCTGTTCATTACTTCATATATTTGACTAGGGGGCTACGCCCCCGACTCGCTCCGCTCGCCAACCCCCTTATGACCCACATATGACCCCCATAATCCTTAATCTGACCCTTGTGACTCTTAATCTGACCCATATGACCGTTAGTCTGACCCTTGTGACCCTTAATCTAACCATTATGACCCTTAATCTGATCCCTATGACCCTTATTCTGACTCTTGTGACCCTTAATCTGACCTTCGTGGGCCTTAATCTGATCTTCGTGACCATTATGACCCTTAATCTGACCCCTGTGACTCTTAATCTGACCCTCGCGCCCCTTAATCTGACCCTTGTGAGCATTATGACCTTTAATCTGACCCCTGTGATCCTTAAACCGACTCTCGTGGCCCTTAATCTGCCCCTCGTGACCATTATGACCCTTAATCTGACCCTCGTGACCATTATGACCCTCAATCTGACCCCTGTGACCCTTAATCCAACCCTCGTGACTCTTATTCTAATCCTCGCGACTTTTATTCTAACCCTCATGACCCTGATTCTGACTTTCAAGGCCCTTATTCTGACCCTCATGACCATTATTTTGACCCTTGTGACCCTTAATTGTAGATTATTAATTCCGAGTACCAAATTTTTATCACCAGAAGTCGATTTAAATTTTTCTAATATAGAGAGAAACGTATTCAATTAAATCCATGTTACGATTCCTCAAAACGTTAAATCACAGATAATAACACGAAATTCAAAGGTTCAAGCCCGTAATCAAAGAATGGAGAATGGTAGCAGATGGAATCATCTCATTCTAACATCGACAAAATTTCGAAATTATGAAATAAGAACCTGAAGACTTATGTTCGAAGGGACATCGGCGAAGCCCTGTAGACGTGGAAGACGGCAAAGCGGAAGTGGAAATAGTATAGGTTCGGCAGATACAACGGAAGCCGGACCAGATCGAATATTCATTTGGGACCTCGACGAAACCATAGTTGTGTTTCACTCACTTCTCACTGGACAATTCGCTGCCAAACACGCCAAGAGCCCCGAGTTGTTGGCACAGCTGGGGTACAGAATGGAGGAGATGATATTCAATTTAGCCGACACACATTTTTTCTTCAATGAGGTTGAGGTATGCCCATCATTTTTCACTTATCGAAAATATCATTCCCGGGAAATTATATTTAGTTTCTTCTCTGATAAAACATCACGAACATTGTATCCCGATATTGTTGGCCTTGTTCTGAAAAGAATGTGGAATCCTCCAATTGAATAAACAATTTTGAGTTTGTATTCTCATCTCTATTTTATTTTGAGATGTCACAAAAAATGTAGAAGATACGGCCGGTTAAAAAAAATCTGCATTATGAGGTCACAATGCAGATATTTTCCGATTCAAGGATGGAAGACAAATTATGCAAAACCCCAATTTATCAATTTCTGCATTGTAGGGCAACCAGACCAATAGATAGACGGTTAAGGACAATTTCAGGTCCGTCAAGAGATCATTGATAAATCACCTAAATACGCCCAGAAAACAATTCAGTAGCGAAGCGGTAAAACGGGTTAAGTCGACTTAGCTCTTTGCTGAGTTTTCGAGGAATATCTCCGAATTCAAGAGAAATAGCGAAATTTTCATTATAACCTTTTTTGTAGAGCGAATTGAGAGCTACAAAAAAGGTTATTACCAAAAAATTTCTATGTTCCTTAGGTTCCGAGATATTCACTAAAAACTGACCAATAGTCTAAATCGACTTAAACCGGTTTACCGCTTCGCTACTGAATTTTTGCCAGTGCCGTCTAAAATTTAACAGGACATCGGCAATTTGTCGACAAATTGTCGACATACTGTTTGCTGGGCGCCAACGATGGGTTCTATACCTGAAAAAATATATGAATTATAGGAAAATAATGATTTGAAGTGGAAACAATGAAGGAATAAATGAGAAAATGACGAAAAAGTGGGATACAGCCCAAACACCCAATAGATAGACGACTGACCAGAAGATAGACGGTGGGTTACCAATAGATAGACGGTCATATTTAATGGTTATTCAAATAAATTCATTCATCTGCATGTTTGAAAATGAAGAATGATTCTTTTCGATAATAATAATCGAACAGATACCGCGTTTATTTGTCCTGATGACTGTTCTTCACATTGTTCCGTCAATACTGCGTGACTGTTGTCTGACTACTCACACCGCCACTGAGGGCCAATACTGTACTCGCAAGGATTTACTGTACTCTTCTCGCAATTCTCGCAAGAATGTGTTTTTTTTCGTTCAAAATGTTCATCAATAAAAAATAAGAAAATCATCGTATTATTATACATTAGTTTTATTATCAAATTTGTAATACAATTTCTATTATATTTTTTATTATAAAATACTTTAAAAAAGTTGAAATCGTCCATCTTCTGGTCGGTGTCTACCTATTGGTCTGGTTACCCTAGGTGCTTATCCAAAACCGCAAGGACTTGAAAAAATTGCGATTTTTTTTCAACTGATAGACAAAAGTCGATAAAAATGTTAATGTTCACCAACATGAAGAAGATAGCATCCATTTTTTTAAATATAATAGAAACTATAGAGACGAATAATAATTACCTAGGTGCTTATCCAAAACCGCAAGGACTTGAAAAAATTGCGATTTTTTTTCAACTGATAGACAAAAGTCGATAAAAATGTTAATGTTCATCAACATGAAGAAGATAGCATCCATTTTTTAAAATATAATAGAAACTATAGAGACGAATAATAATTTCATTAAAGTTTCTAATTCCAGCGCTAGAATATTTTTCAAGAATTTCTCTTCATGTCACGCACGAAAAAATTTAATAGAAAAACCTATCGAATTCGTTGAAAAATTCAATTAACATGTTCAATAGAAAACATTCAATAGAAAAAGTCAACAGAATTCGATTTTTCTGTATAACTTATTCTTTTCATATATTTTCTATAGAATTTGCTGGACTTAAATTTTCTAATTTTTTTTCATTCTATTTTTCTTCTCTTCTCATCAAGAAAATCAAACGAAAAAACTTGAAAAATTTGAGCCGAGCGAATTCTATAGAAAATATCTCAATAGAATAAGTTATATAGAAAAATTGAATTATATTGACTTTTTCTACTGAATATTTTCTATTGAATATTTCAATAGAATCGGCCAAAAATTGATAGAACAGTTCAATCGGAATTCAATAGAATTTTCTAACGAATTCGATAGGTTTTTCTATTAAATTTTTTCGTCCGTGGTATCCAGCAATTGAAGAAATTGCGTAGAACCCTGATTATATCGATTTCCAGGAGTGTGATCAAGTGCACATTGACGACGTATCCTCGGACGACAATGGCCAGGATTTGTCCTCGTACAATTTCTCGGCCGATGGCTTTCAGTGCGCATCAGCCAACAACGGCATTTGTCTCGCCTCTGGAGTACGCGGTGGTGTCGATTGGATGCGAAAGCTCGCATTTCGATATCGAAAAATCAAAGAGATATACTGCAACTACAGGAATAACGTCGGTGGACTACTTGGTGCAGCTAAGCGCGAGCAGTGGCTGCAGTTGAGAGCTGAAATTGAATTGGTTACGGACAATTGGCTTACATCAACAATCAAGTGCTTAAGTCTCATTAGTAAACGGAGTCATTGTGTTAATATTCTTGTTACTACAACACAACTTGTACCGGCGCTGTCCAAGGTCCTGTTATTTGGCATTGGGGGGTTGTTCCCGATCGAGAATATTTATTCGGCGTCTAAAATTGGTAAGGATTACCCAACGAAAGAAGCTTTATTTTTAAAATTATGATACAAAATTGAGACTTTTAAAAGTTTCATGTTGACCTCCATATGACCCCCATGATCCTTATTCTGACCCTTGTGACCCTTAAACTGACCCTCGTGACCCTCATTATACCTCTCGTGACTCTTATGTGGACCCTTAATATAACCCTCGTGGCCTTTATTTTGTGACCCTCATGACCCTTATTCTGACCCTTGTGGCCCTTATTTTGATCCTCGTGACCCTTAATTTCGGAGTATTAATTTCGAGTACCAAAAGTTCAGAAGTCGATTTGGATTTTTATAATATACACAGAAACTTCAAGTTGAATTCCGAAAGTCTCAACTTGAGACACTCAAAAGCTTCAACTTGAGTGTATGATAATCTCAAATCAACTTGAGACTTTGAAAGTCTCGAATTAAAACCGTCCAAACTCTCGACTTGAGACTTTCAGAAAGCTTAAATTGAGATCTCAAAGTCTCAAACTGATACCTTCGAAACTCTCGACTTAAGAATTTCAGGAAGATAGGAAGTCATATAGCGTTCCACATCTTGTGACGTCACAGGATATTGTTGGATAGGATTTTGGAGTAACTCCAAATTAAGACTTTTCGTAATCTTATTTTGAGACCTTTGAAATCTTAAAATAAGTATTTTTTTCGGGTAAAGGTATTAAGGGGAGACTACAATGAGTTTTAAAAGTCGTGGGTTATTGGAGTGAGACTTTTCATACGTTGAAGATCGATTATATAGATCTGAAAACGAATAATTAGTGCAAAAAAAATTTTTTTTATCGTTCGTTTGCCCGAAAACGCTTAAAATGCTAAAAACAGTCCAGCACCTGCAATTTCTGAGCTACTAAAGATTTTTTTTTTTTAGAATTTTCGGAAAAATGTGTGGAACAACAATTACGAGCCAGTTTTTTGGAATTTGACTCCTCCATAGCTGATTTTGGTTTTTTTCATGTAGAAAAATTCACTATTTACGTAAAAAATACAAAAAAAGCAAATTTAGCCATGTAAGAGGCGAATTAAAAAAAAACTAGCTCGTAATTGTTATTCCACATATTTTTCCGAAAATTTTGAAAAAAAATCCTTCGTAGCTCAAAAATTGGAGGCCCTGGACTGTTTTTGGCATTTTAAACGTTTTCGAGCAAACGAACAATAAACAAAATTTTTTTTGCACTAATTATTCGTTTTCAGATCTATATAATCGATCTGCAACGTATGAAAAGTTTGACTCCAATAACCCATGACTTTTGAAGCTCATAGTAGTCTCCCCTTAATTGTGGAATTATTGATAGTGATTAACAACTGCAGGGAAAAAGGTCAAGACATCCATTTGTATGAAAATAATATTTTCATAATCACCAAAAATTGATAATTTCATTTTTCAGGGAAAGAGAGCTGCTTCGGCAGAGTCGTAGCTAAATTCGGTAGAAAATGTACGTACGTAGTGATTGGTGATGGTTCAGACGAGGAAACAGCTGCAAGGGCGCACAATTTTCCATTCTGGAGGATAAACAGTCACTCCGACACTCAAGCCCTCTACAACGCCCTCGAGATGGGTTTTCTTTAATGAAAACGAAAAAAAAAACATTGGAAATTCTATCACGACCAACTTAATGTCATTCCTATGGATAGTTTTTTAATCAAGTGATTATTATCGTAAGTAGCGGATCGATGCCATGGCGGAAGAATTTTTATCGATCAATTCAGGGTCCACAAGTGATGAACGAAAATGTAACGAAAGTAATTGTGAAAGTGTACGAGAAATCTATTGAGTGAGGAGAATTTTTAAATGAGACATTTAGCGAGCTTCTACGTGTATAGAAATGATAAATTTTATCGAGATTATAGCGATTTATGTGTTTAGTACTTAAACGGTGAGGTGACGATGGAGATCAGTAGTGGAGTGGTAAAAAAAGATAACTGCAATTGATTTAGAATATTTTTTGTTGAGATATCTTTGAATCTAACGGGGACAGGAGAGTTTTTGAAAGGTTCTTATGAAATATTCGATTGTGCTGCAGATTCCAAGCTATTTATAATTAATTTTCCTGAAGAAAAATCGATGATTCAGTGTAATCACGACAGGATCAATCCAGATTTTTCTGACTATATCAAAATCTAAGGGAGATTAAACCGGTTTACCACTTCTCTACTGAACTCCAAAAACTAATGTTTTCTTTTGAAACAACAAAAAAAATGGAGAGCATTGAAATTTTGTTCATCAACCTTCCTGTACCATATCAAGCAAAAGAATTTCTTTTACATTGTTGATACATCTATTCAAAAAATAAAGAATCAAATAAGAACCACGAACAATTATCCAATGTATTGTTGAGTGTATGGCCGAGGCAGGGGTCCTGGGTTCGCAACCTGGCACAGACAAATCATTTCTGGATTATTTGATTTAGTCAAATAATATAATAGTGCTTTTCTTAAACTGTTTTTTTTCAAACTTATCTGAATGTGCTTCTTCAAAACTACTTTTTTTGTTTGTAATTTTTACATGTTTCTTGAAACCTGGATTAACCTTTAAAACAATTGAACCCTAACAGGCAAGGGGGGCTGAGGGGTTAGAGGTTAATCCTGGTTTTAAGAAACATGTAAAAATCTAAAACAAAAATAAATATTTTGAAGAAACATACTCAAATAAGTTTGAGAAAAAGCGGTTCAAGAAAAGCGCTATAAGAACACCGTTAAAAATGTTGAAAATAAAACGTTAAAATACCGAGAGAAAATAGAATTGATCATGTTCGAATCACGTACATGCAACCTACAATTTCACGAGTCCCGAGAACCTAATTGACTACATTTGGTTCTCACCATCATGTGTGATTGCATTCTGATCATTCACTTGAACTACAGTCATAACATCGAACCCTACAAGTTACAGAGGAAATAGTCGTGAGCTTTAACAAGAGTCGAGTCCGTCACTAATAACCCAGCTGTTGATGTGACGTTAAACCCCAACAAACAAACAATTATCCAATGTAACTTTATTGAAGAGTAAATTTCTTTCTCATATAATATAATCACAATAGCAGTTTACAAAGCCAACGTTAAGCTATGTTCTGAAAATATACCGATTCCAACTGGGGAATCTAATAAAAGTATTTATATGAACAAAATAGTAATAGCTTCAAGTATTATCTAGGTAATAGAGAGAATGAAAAACTTTCAGTGTTTCACAGCTTTATGCCATCTCGGCGTATGTTGGAGCGGTGAGAACTCCGCAGTTGTTGTCCTTCTGAGCCATGAGGATGTAGCCATCATTGCCCCAGTAGTTGGACCATGAGTTCTTGACGAGCCAGTAGCCCTGTCCGTTCATCGTTCCATACCCCACTGCGAGGACAGCGTGATCGAGATTCTCCTCACCATTTTGACAGGCTGGTTCGTAGAAGACTCCATTAGAGTAGAAGGAAAACGTCTTGTGGGCTGCGTCGATGGAGACGGAGACAGGCCCGTGCTTGACAATGGCAATTTTCAAGGCATCTACACTACCAGGTGGCACGTTAACGAATCCTGTCATCTTAGCTGTGAGCGTGACGTTGTCGATGTGGCAGTAGGCATCCTGGCCGAGGTAGCCACCGTAGTCTTCCTCGGTTGGGAGACCCCCGTGCTTCATGACGAAAGCGTAAGACCTGAAGTCCTCACCACCGTCACATCCGTTGTTTCCGTATCCCCAGGAACAATCGATCAGTGCTTGCTGCGAAAGTCTCACTAATTTCTGGTATTTCAGGAAGTATGCGCCCTCGATTGCACCTGTTGTACCGAAACTCCAGCAGGAACCACAGACTGATTGATCTGGAATTGAATTATTTAGAAATAATTGATGAAAAATTATTTTAAAATGACATGAACGAGGAAAATTAATCAAAATTCAATTCTATTCAATTGCTATGAAAATTCTCTTGAAAAGTCCATTTGTTTTTTGCCGAATATATTTGAAAAATCTGCAGTTTTTCTATGCATTTTTTAGAATGGAACGTTCAATAGAAAATTGAAAGTGCAAATTGAACAGAATAAATTATATGAAAAACAAAACTTTTCCAACCCCTCACGTCCGGCGCCCATATAAGGCGGCTTGTCCCAACGGCCGAGAGAATTACCGCGCGTCAACTCCGTTATTCGATAAACGATAACTTAAAAACAGTCGAACGAAAAAAATTGAAATAAAATGCATTAGCTGTATTGAACTTTGAAATAAACTCCTAGATAATTTCCTAATTTTTGACACCAATTTCAATGTTTGCGGACAATTGGTTGCCGGGATCTTCGAACATGCTAAATTTATTTATAACAAACAAATTATTCAACAAATCGAAATTTAATTTCTGCCATTCGATAGAAAGATCATTGAAGTATTTTCAGTAAAAATTTCAAAAATTTTGGGGGAAATTTTGTCGATAAACGAGAGGATTTAATATGATTGAATCGGTTGGATGTCAAATTTTCATCTACAACTTTTGTTCATAAAAAAAAAATTATAAATGCATTGAAAAAAAATGAAATAAAATAGTTCACTGCAGAGACAATTCCATTGACTTTCCAAATATCTTTTCCAAATGTCAATATGTCTCTTAGAATTCGAGAAAATGATTTTTGACTGTTGACGGAAAGGGTCGATACCATGCATTGACCCCGGCCGGTGGTACAAGTTTATGGGTCGTGCATGGTATCGACGCCATACGTGAGGGGTTCATGATAAAGGAACACGTGGAGGGGTCAAAACCTGGAAAATTTATCGATTTTTTGCTGTTGAATATTTCTATCAATGAACGAGCTAAATTTTTCAAGAGAATTTACAAAAGTCAATCGAATTCCATCTTCTTCATTCATTTTTTTGTTTGTGAATGAATGTTACCATTAATTATGCTTATTATGAACACCACTGATGAATTAATTACATTGTATAGGTATTCATTTCCTCTCCAATATTCCCTTGAGCCTCACTGAACTAATTTATGAGCATAAAGACAAATTTCGTTGATTTTAACCCATCAATGTTCAAAACCAATCAATTAATTAGTTGAGTTAATTAAAGTAGCTCTACCCTTACGGTGAATTCAACGATTATTGAAAACTGCAAAAAAATTGCAGAAAACTCGATTAGATTTGGAATTTTAATTTTTTTCTCAATCTAATTATCGTTTTGGTTTTTCCAAGAAGAAATGTTTAAAAATCAGGATTTAACCCAGTGTCTTATGTGAAAATCAACATTTCCATTGTAATCAAAGATTAAAATCTGCTTTTTTTTTCATTAGATGTGAAAAAATCACGAATTTTTTTGACAGCGCATAAAAAATAATCCACCGTTTTGCAAACAAGTTTTATTATTTACTTACAAGAGGGAAATGTTTGGAAAAATATCAATATTTTGCGAAATTTAATTTAGATAATACTGACTGGGTGTGAATTTTTTCGAATTTTTTCCATGCAATTTAGTTGAAAAATTTAAAAACTGAAAATATCCAAATGTACAGCGTAGCCCGGCCGAAAGGTGGAGCTACTTTAATCCATTCCACTAATGATATTATCCATTCGCATCATAAAACGTTAATCCAAAATTTTACCTTTGACTGGAGTGACGGCCCCATATAAACGCCAATCGAAGTTATCAGGAATATCTTGAACATCCTCTTTAATATTATGAGGGAAAGCCATGCCTCCCTTATCGGTCACCCCCGTGTACTGTTTTCCCCTCAACGCCTTCAACTCCGTGTCCGTACGATCGGCCAAGTGATTGACGCTCAGTTGATACCCCAGATTGGCACGGTTCGTGGAGTGAATGAGCCTCAGGTTCTGCCTGAAAACCTCCTTACGACGATGATGCTCCTTGTGGTCAGATGAGTAATCCCTGCCATGATACTTCCTGAAACGATCAAACTCCACATCCACGTGATGGTTATCGTTGTGGATGAATTCACGAATGGGGTTGAAGGTCACTACGTGCCTGTCACCGGGTCCAGGGAAGCTGCCACATGTCATATCTAGATGAGGGAACAATTAGATCAATTAGTGAATTGAGTTAATACACGTATAAAAATAATTTTGAATCAATTTTTGCGTATATCTATGGAAAATGATATAATTTTGTTATCATTTGATGAATATTTTATAGAAAGAAGACAATTGACGTTATTGTTCTTTCTATATGAATTTTTGGGCACGAATTTTCTGATTGAATTAAATTTGATTGAATTTCCGTTGGAGTTCCATTAGAATTCTATTGAAAATTGTGAAACTAAAAAAGATCTACAGGTGTTGATTTTTCGATTTAACTTATTCTGCAAAGATTTTATCTTGAAAAATTATTGAAGATAGATTTTTCAAGCTTTTTTCTATTTAATTATGAGAAACAAAAAAGAGCAGCAGAAAAAAATTTAAAAAATTATAATAATTTCTACAGAATAATTTAAATATGTTGACTTATGTTTGTCAAATATTTATTTAAAAAAAAACACGCTGAAATTGCATCATCTTCAATAGAATGAATACGAAAACCCGATAGTATTATTTACAAGAATGTTGACAGAACTGGAAAATAATTTTTCTAGATTTCCAATAGACTTTCTTAGAGAAAACGCTAGATTTTTCTATTGTATTTCGCCTGCTTGCTGATCTGCTTTCTTTGTGATTTATGATCTTGTAATGTAAAACAAAAAAAAAATACAAAGCAAAATTTTTAAAAATTGAAAAATTCGTAGTGAAAATAGACAACAACAAATGATTTTACTATATTTATTCCACTCATGGAAAATCACGCACGAAAAAATTTAATAGAAAAATCTATCGAATTCGTTAGAAAATTCTATTGAATTTCTATCAAACTTTCTATTAGTTTTTGGCAAAAAGTCAAAAGAACTCGATTTTTCTATATAACTTATTCTTTTCATATATTTTCTATAGAATTTGTTCGACTCAAATTTTCCAAATTTTTTTCATTCTATTTTTATTTTCTTCTCTTCAAGAAAATCAAACGAAAAAACTTAGAAAATTTGAGCCGAAAAAATTCTACAGAAAATATCTCAATAGAATAAGTTGTATAGAAAAATCAAATTCTATTGATTTTTTCTAAAAACTAATAGGCCAAAAACTAATAGAACAGTTCAATAGAAATTCAATAGAATTTTCTAACGAATTCGATAGATTTTTCTATTAATTTTTTTCGTCCGTGCAATGAAGTAAAGACAATTTGAAAAACTCACTGGCTTCAACTTTGAAAACATCAGCACTCGGAGTCTCATATGAATACCAGTCATACTCAAGATAATAATGATCGTAGTGTGAGCCCAACAGACTGTTGAATCCCTTCATTTCGTATCTGATAGGAATGGGTTCCTTGACTCCAGTTATCGATTTCTTGTACCTAATCCACAGAGTGTATTTGTTGGTTTTCTCCCCGATTTTGTCCACGAGTCGCCATTTCTCGCAGGGAAGACCGTTGATTATCTCCTCTCCAATGCACTCCATGCCGTGGGTATCGGGGACAATCGTCTGGATCGCCACAGGCCCATTGCTGTCACCCTCCACCTTCATACATTTTTCGGCGTTCAATTCGGTATCTGTTGTCACCGGTGCGAGTTTGAGCATTGTACCGTGGGGACCTTGATTGCTCAGTTGGAAAGTCTTTACCATTCCTGAAATAACATTTAAATCCATTATGACATAGAGATTATCTGAATTATTCACGTTCATTCGTTAGGTCTAAGATGGAGTGATGAATCAATTTCATTTTATGGTACGAAAGATTTTCGAGGAATATGTTTTGAACGGAGGGAAATGGTCAATTTTCTGTGAGGACATTTCATCCCGAGCACCCGTTTTATCATCTTGCACACATGCGTGAAAAAATTTAATAGAAAACGAGCGCATTCTCTAAAGAATTCTATTGAATTTCTATTGGAACTCTACAAGGATTCTCTTGATGTTTTATTGAATTCGATTAAAATTTCTGTTTTTTGCGCCATCTCTTGGTAATTTCCAATTCTTTATTTTTTCGGTTCAAACAAGACTTATTTGAGAACATTTTGTCTTTCTTCCCCAGTGTACTGCCATTGAATAAAACGAAACTAAAATAAATATAAAATAGATGACAATTTCCTGGATCCATGATACGATCAAGATAAATTTGGTGATGTTTTAAAGCTCCAGAAAAGTCCTCAAAAATGAGAGAAAATCGTAAAAACTCACTCTATCAATTTGGAGTTATTGAACATTGAAAAATATTAATTTCGTTCAAATTCTCTCAAAATTCCATTCCTCTACAAAATTCAGCTGATTGAAAATTTTTTGCAATTCAGTGGAGATGAGGGATTTTTCATAGAATTTTTTTAAGCTTCCATTCAATTATAAAAAAAAGTTCGAATGAAAATTTTCGTATCTCTCGAATTCTTCGATATGCACCGAAAATTCACATTCAAATAGAATTGTATTATCTCGCTCCACCAATTCGCCAGAAGGTCAGAGATAAATCCAGCTATCACGAATGACAATCGATGGAAATTACCTCCATAGTAGTCAATGCGACTGGATCCCCTCTGTGCATCATACCACGCATAAAATGGCTCCTTAATCTCGGCATAAGGGATGTAAAGTGTTCCTTTAGCCACGTATTGACTGCTGAATACTGGAGCTTTTATACCTGCAGCGCAGCCCCCTGAATAAAAATCGAAAAAAACCATTAGACAATACAATCGAATATTTTGAGGATATCCAAGTATCTTTTACAGTTTGGTGCAGACCGTGCTGTAAATTCAGCCATTTTCAATCATCAAATTTGTCAATTAAATTGCGTGAGAAAAATTTGAAAAAAAAATCATGAATATTCTGTGTCACTCAAATTACATTTCGCAAAGAATTATCATTTTTTTAAACATTCGTCGTTTTAAATAAATAATTGAAATTGTTCAAACTTTCGGAAACCTTATTTTTTAAAATTCTGAATATGAATAAATTTGTTACGATTCCGAACAAATTATTTTTCAGTGGAAAATTGATTGTTTGTAAATTATTTATAGAAATAGCTCGTAATTTTCAAACATTGCAATTTTTTAATTATTTCATTAATCTTCCTGCAAAAGTAAACTTTCCATTTTTTTTCAGTTTTTTAAAATGTTTTCTAGCCGTTCAATATTGAGATTCAAATTCAGACCTTCAAATTTAAATAATAAAATCGGTGCAAAATGTCCGGAAACTTGGGGTCAAATGGGGCTCAAATGAAAGCTCTGATGTTCAATTACAAAAGTAGAAATCTATTTCACTGACGAAAAAATAGCCAAAGTACTTGGATATCCTTAAAGTAGGTCTACCCTTCGGTCGGGTTACGCTGTACTTTTGGATATTTTCAGTTTTAAAATTCTTCAACTAAATTGAAGGGAAAAGTTTGAAAAAATTCATACCCAGTCAGTATTATCAAAATTAAATTTCGCAAAATACTTTTTCCAACATTTCCCTCTTATAAATAAGTAATAAAACTTGTTTACAAAACGGTGGATTATTTTTTATGAGGTGTCAAAAAAATTCTTGATTTTTTCACATCTAATGAAAAAAAATTCAGACTTTAATCTTTGATTACAATGGAAATGTTGATTTTCACATGAGACACTGGGTTAAATCCTGATTTTTAAACATTTCTTCTTTGAAAAACCAAAACGATACTGAAATTGAGAAAAAAAATTAGAATTCCGAATCTAATCAAGTTTTCTGCAATTTTTTGCAGTTTTCAATAATCTTTGAATTTACCGTAAGGGTAGAGCTACTTCAAATTGAAATAGAACACTTTATTTGAGTCAGATATAAACTCACCAAGGAAGAGGAGCGTTACCAGGCGCTGATACCACATGCTGTTTATCATCTGCAGAAGACTTTCATTCGATTAGTTTCATAAATAACTACTGAGATTATATTCTACACGTGATACTCAGCAAAGATCGCAGTGACATTGACCTCTGCAATAAATAGACAGACAAATGCGACTAAGACCGCTCATTTTTATCATTCAATTTGCTTTCAGTGAACTAGATCTCGATAATCGCTCCTTTATTCTCCGAACAAAAGAATGAACCCTCATATTTTTAATTTCAGCCGTAGGGGAGAGTGGGGTAAAATGGACACTTTAGACTTTTGTTTTAATTACTCATAACTCAGAAACAAATTTATCAATTCAGCTCAGTTTCAGCTCATCACAAAGGGAAAGAATCGTTCTTTGCAATGAACATTTAAAAAAAAGTCAAGTGTCCATTTCACCCCAACCTCCCCTATCTGAAGCTCATCACCGTAAAATCAAATGCAACTACCGAATACTGTTACAAGACCCCGACTAATCTTTCATTATTTCAAATTGCATCGATAAATAATCGTCGGATCATCTAGTTTTATCTTTTTCTAATGACGAATTTGGACATGGAATCGAATTTGGAAATTCGCAATAAGTGCAGAATAGAATGCGTTGTCGAAAATAATGACTCCAAACAATGGAATGTTTACATTCTCACCATTCTCGACAGCTCCGTTCACCACAAAGCGTCGACCACTGATAAAGACGCTGGCTGGCGTCTTCGATGGTGACTCAGTTGATTATATATATGTAACGATGCGAATATTTTCAAAAGAGCAGGGGGCGGAAATTTCAAATACTTCGAGAGAAGAAGTGCGACTCGTCAGATACTGTCGTGAAATAAAAACACAACTCAGCAATTATAAGGCTGAGATAGCAGAATGGTGTTGTGGAGGGGTGAAGGCGAGTAAAAACTCCATCTGTCTGCTCCAGCTGAAGATTTTTTAGTGGGGAGCGTATCCGCGGGAACTGCAGACTCGGAGGGAGGGAGGCAGGTGCTTGGCGGGAGGTTCCTCTCTTTTTGTCTAATGCACGAGGGGCTTGAATTCGACGGACGGCCGGGGGATCGTTCGGCGAATGGAAAGCGCGATGACAGTGAGGAAGACACCATCCCGGTAGGATATTTTGCTCTACTTGTGGTTAGAGATGCAAAATGACCGTCATTTTTTAGATCGCGTCATATGACCAAAAATGACGGTCTTGTGACGGTCATGTGACGCACAAATTTTCCAACTACAAATGATTGTCACAAATCATTTGTAACCAAATTGTTGTCACGACGCGCAAATGCGCAATATCGAGTGCACCAACTACTGAAACTCAATTCTCTAGAATACGGTAGTCGCTTGATTAGAGAGTGAGGGCTCCACTGAAGAAATTTTTGACTTTACCGCTGCAGAAAGCGCTATCTGTTCAATACCCTCGCGCCTGCGCACTCTCTCCTCCCCAAAATAACGGCGAACAAACCCCAACTCTCGAAGTGTTTTTTATCAACCGAGAGAGACAGTGCGACAGTTCACCCTGAATCATCCGCTGGAGCACATCCAGCTCCAGTTTGGATATTTTATCACCTCTGTCGCCAACCGAGAGACAAATCCAAGTGATTTTAGCGTAAATACCAGATAAGTCATGGGCGATTCGTTGGACGGGACGGGCGAGCCCACGCCAGAATCGCAGAACATTGTGATTGTTGATTACACGTCATTTGCGAATTTTCTCCGGAAAATCGTGCCCATCCTCGCTCTCGACGAGGACGGGGTACCCTCTGCCTTCGTCGCGGCGCTCGACGACAAGAGTCATCAGGAGTACATTCGCAAGTTCATCGGGGATTCGCAGGTATGGGCGTTGTGCATCCAACGGAGCTCGACGAAAGGTGAGTTTTATTCATCGAGACATGGCTACTTCGTATTTATGAACGTAGGTGTTGTCCTCCATTGGAGGGTCAACGGTACATTGTCGGCTCAACACATGCACAGGGGGGACCGTTGAAAATCAATGGCAAATGGCACTTACGACTTATCGAATTCATTCGGGGATGAGTCATGCCGGTGTGCGGAGCGTTACGATTGTCGGTGATATATACCGGCTTTTTTGACATATGCTGATTTTTATTTTGATTGAGGAAAAAATATTTTTGACGAGCCATCGTTTTCTTTGGAGAAGGAATTATTTTTTTAGAAGACGATTCCGAGGGGTCGTTTTCAGGGGATCCAAGTCAAGTTTTCAATAGTACAATTATATTGAAATGGAGAACGATTTAAGCGGGGGCTAGGGGATTTTTTTCTCACTAATATCTAATGAGAAATTTCGGGAATTTTTGTCAATTTTTTTCTTTATGTAAAAAAATGTAGTGAAATCTTTATCATCAAATCTTTATTTTCCAATAATATCCATTTTTTATGCAATAGAAGGAATTGAGTACATAATTTCAAATTCCATGGCATTGATTTTGCGAAAGGTCTGGATTGGTTTTCGAAAACACAAAAAAAATTCTTGAAAAATATTAAAAATTGTGGGACTAGTAGGTTTTTTACGAATTGAAAAAATTGAAAAATGCCAATTTTCGATAGGAAATTGGAGGAAATAATAATTGGATGGAGATTTTCATCACAAAAAGCTCAACCAATAATCAAATTAAAATAAAGCATGAAAATTGTGTTCAGAATTGTCCGCCTCCATAAGCTGGTCCCTCTTTGGAAAATGGAACAAACCGACCGATGTCTATTCACTTCACTTCTGATTTGATGCTCAATTGAATTCAAATATCCAAAATTGGTGATTGAAATTTCCAGAGAAAGACAGTAACAAATGAAACGAGCGAAAAGTCCATCAAATCTCCAGTCAGTTGTGCTGAAAAATCAATTACTTTCTTAAATACTGAATGAAATTGCCAGATTCAAGTCCATTCCCCAATTAGTATTGTGAAAATTCCAGCAACTGTTTTTCTAAATTGTGAATGTACTCAATTCACTTCATTCAATTGTTAGAAGTGGTTCTGGGCCATATTTCGGTCACCAGCACTCAAAATGATCACAAAAATTTACTTAACAAATTGCACGACGTTTCGAACGCTCAATGCACTCCTCCTCAGGTGCACGTTTTATTCTACATCAAGAAACCAGACATTACATTGCAAACTTTTAACTATTGGACAGCCATTATCCTCAACCAATATTTGAAAAATGAAATAAAATAATCTAAAAATTGCTCCTTCTCACCTAATTAAATCCATCAGGAAACATGACATCACTTAATTCCAGCTTTAAAATATCACTAATCACCATAAAAAATAATTCTCCATAAAAACCCCACTCTCCTTAAATTTCCAAGATAAATAACAAATTTCAAACCGACTTGACCCCAAACTTCCCTCAAATATCTAAAATTCTATACTGAAATTTCCAGAGAAATACCGTAACAAATTATTATTCTACACTAAGAAAACAGACATTACACTGCAAACTTTTAACTATTAGACAGCCATTATCCTCAACCAATATTTGAAAAATGAAATAAAATAATCTAAGAATTGCTCCTTCCCACCTAATTAAATCCATCAGGAAACATGACATTACTTAATTCCAGCTTCAAAATATCACTAACGACATAAAAAATAATTCTCCATAAAAACCCCACTCTCCTTAAATTTCCAAGATAAATACCAAATTTCAAACCGACTTGACCCCAAGCCTCACTCAAATATCCAAAATTCTGTACCGAAATTTCCAGAGGAGGACAACGGCGAAGGGGACGACGAGAAGGACACCACGATGTACCACATCTCAAACGAGATATACTTCACAAACCCAAAAATGGCATCGATAGTCCTGACGAAACGCGGTGGAGTGATCGAGGCGGACAAATCCATCTCCTCCCAAGTGAGAATCGTGAACCTCTCGGACGGGCCCCCGTACGAGACCCTCCACGCGATCAGCAAGACAATGGCCCCATTCTTCAAGAGCTACGTGAAAGAGACAGGCCGAGCGGACCGAGACGGCGACAAGATGGCCCCGTCCGTCGAGAAGAAGATCGCCGAGTTGGAGATGGGTCTTCTCCACCTCCAGCAGAACATCGACATCCCAGAGATCTCGCTGCCAGTGCACCCTCTGGTGATGCAGGTGATCAAGCAATGCGCCGAGGAGAACCGAAAACCCAAAGTCGCCGATTTCGGGGACAAAGTCGAGGACTCGACGTTCCTGAATCAGTTGCAGAACGGCGTCAACAGATGGATCAAGGAGATCCAGAAGGTGACGAAATTGAATCGAGATCCTGAGTCTGGCACAGCCCTCCAGGAGATCTCCTTCTGGCTGAACCTAGAGAGAGCCCTCCACCGAATCCAGGAGAAGCGTGAGAGCACAGAAGTCACTCTGACCCTGGACATCCTGAAGCACGGGAAGAGATTCCACGCCACAGTCTCCTTCGACACTGACACCGGTCTAAAGCAAGCCCTCGCTACAGTCAACAACTACAACCCCCTGATGAAGGACTTCCCCATAAACGACCTGCTGTCAGCAACTGAGCTCGAGAGGATCAGAGCAGCTGTCCAGCAGATCTTCATGCACATGAGGAAGATCAGAAGCACAAAGTACCCCATCCAACGTGTCCTCCGACTGGTGGAGGCAATCTCTCGAGACCTGAGCCAACAGCTGCTGAAGGTCCTGGGCACTAGGAGACTGATGCACATTCCCTTCGACGAGTTCGAGAAAGTCATGGCACAATGCTTCGAGGTATTCATCACGTGGGACGACGAGTACGACAAGCTGACTGGTTTACTCAGGGACTTCGTGAAGAAGAAGAGGGACGAGCACATGAAGATGGTGTGGAGGGTGTCCCCAGCTCACAAGAAACTACAGACTCGAATGGACCAGATGAGGAGGTTCAGGAGGCAGCACGAGCAGTTGAGAACAGTTATCGTTCGCGTTTTGAGACCGACGGTTCGCCAGAACAGCAACAATCCAGCCATTGAAAATCCAGATAACGATAATGTCAAGGTGGAGTTCGCTCTGGACGCTGCTGACGCCAATGCCATAAGCGAAGTTAACTTGGCTTATGAGAATGTGAAGGAGGTCGACTGCCTGGACATCACGAAGGAGGGGCTCGAGTCCTGGGAGGCGGCTGTTCACAGGTATGAGGAGAGGATCGAGAGGGTCGAGGCGAGAATAACAGCTCATCTGAGGGACCAGCTGGGAACGGCCAAGAATGCCAACGAGATGTTCAGGATCTTCTCGAGGTTCAACGCACTCTTCGTGAGGCCCCACATTCGTGGTGCCATCAGGGAGTATCAGACCCAGCTGATTCAGAGGGTGAAGGACGACATCGAGGCTCTTCACGAGAAATTCAAGGTCCAGTATCCCCAGAGCAAGTGCTGCAAGATGAGCATGGTGAGGGACATTCCACCTGTCTCCGGCTCCATCATCTGGGTCAAGCAGATTGACTACCAGTTGACGATGTACCTCAAGAGGGTCGAGGATGTCTTGGGAAAGGGCTGGGAGAATCACATCGAGGGGCAGAAGCTGAAGGCCGATGGCGACAGCTTCAGGATGAAGCTCTCCACGCAGGAGATCTTTGATGACTGGGCTCGCAAGGTCCAGCAGAGGAATATTGGAGTCACTGGGAGGATCTTCACCATCGAGAGTGTCAGGTCCAGGTCTGGGAGGGGAAATGTCCTCAAGCTCAAGGTGAATTTTCTCCCTGAGATCATCACTCTGTCCAAGGAGGTCAGGAACCTCAAGAATCTGGGGTTCAGGGTCCCTCTGGCTATTGTCAACAAGGCTCATCAGGCCAATCAGCTGTATCCGTTTGCCATCAGTCTTATTGAGAGCATCAGGACTTATGAGAGAACTCTTGAGAAGGTAATTGTTGGGGCTTTTGGGCTTTTCCGGGGTTGAGTGGCCTGGCGGTTTTAGAGTGTTGGAGAATGTTTTTGGGTCAATCATATTGTGAATTAACTAATTTTCTAGCTTACCAATCGGAGCCCCCACTGTCCCTCGTTGAAGGTAGCTCATTCATAATGATGCTTTCCATGATAAAATGCATTTTGGCGATAGATCATGTTCGCAATTTCGTTGTCCATGCCTGCTTAGTTGTCTGTCATAGAAAATGAAACTATTGAACCCTTCATGGAACACTCAGTAATTATCTGCGATCTGTTGTTTATCTTTTTTTGGTTCGTACAGCTTTTGACTGACATGAGTAAATTTGAGGGAGGAAACGACCATCGAAGTTTTGTTTGATAATTACGCCCTGTTTGTACTGTCGCTTCGAATAATGAATTTTATTTGCGATTCGATGTTCTTCCCGTTGAAATACTCGTGAATGATTATTTACTGTTGTAATTTTGCATTGGCGAGCAGTCGCAGTACCAGTGGATGATGAAGGGAAATGTTTTTTGATGATTAATGTGAGGGTATGGTTTCAGATCGAGGACAAGGCTAGTATCATTCCTCTGGTTGCGGGCATGAGGAAGGATGTGCTTTCTCTATTCTCAGAGGTATGTAAAAGTATATTGATTAATAGTTTACTTGGACATTCGTTTTGATTGACGAAATGTGATGATGTTCGTCATCGATGATTTGTAATATTCCTTAGGGTATTGCTATCTCAATAAATAACAATATTTTATGAAGAATTGAAAATGTTTAATGAGCAATTAATTATTAATTTTTCGATTTTTTTGGAGTATTAAAATTGAATGATGTTAATCCTCAAGAATTTGCATAATTTCTCAAGATTTTGCTATATTAATAATGAAACAAATCATCAAGAATCAAAAATATTTGATGAACAATTAAGGATGCTTATCCAAAATCGCAAGTACTTGAAAAAAATTGATTTTTTTAAAAATTGAGAGATGAAGATATCCCTTTCACTTTGATACAACTTTCAATCCACCAACCCATATTCATTATTTAGAAATGAAATAGATAGAATGCACCAAATGCATGCGCTAACATGCGCTTATATGGGATAGAATCATTCAAACATTTCCTCTTTTTGCCTGGGTACCCCAGATTTTTCTCTGACCATTGGATTCAGTATGATTTTACACATTACCTTCTATTTTTATTTTATTTTTAGAGTCTTCTAGATTTGAATATAAATTTCATAAGAGCCCTTGTGTAAGCAAAAATTAGTTTATTCATTTCTGCCGATACTATTGCGATTAATTGTTTTTTAACTGTCAGCCAAAAAAGTTACAGAACTTTTCTTGACCATGAAAAAAAAACACATTTACCAACACTGGTTAAACATCCTTAATAATTAATTTTGGCATTCTTTTTCATTGCTAAAAAAGCATGTCAAGATTTGATGACTAATTAATAATTAATCTACACATTTTTCTTCATTGCTAGAACGTAATGACCTTAATAACCAATAATTTTTACATTCCTCAGGGCATAGCTCTAGTCTGGGAGTCCTACAAGCTCGATCCCTACGTCCAGCGTCTCTCCGAGATAGTAGTTCAATTCCAGGAGAAGGTCGACGACCTCCTGGTCGTCGAAGAGCAGCTGGACGTCGACGTGCGCTCCCTGGAGACCTGTCCCTACTCAGCCAACACCTTCGTGGACATTCTCTCGAAAATCCAGAAGTCAGTGGACGAGTTATCCCTCAAGAACTACTCGAACCTGCACATCTGGGTGGCTCGTCTCGACGAGGAAGTGGAGAAGAACCTGGCAGCTCGACTGGAGGCAGGGGTGAAGGCCTGGACCGACGCCCTCATGGGCCACAAGAAGGAGGTCGACCTCAGCATGGACACCGACGCCCCAGCGAAGCCCACGCACAAGCCAGGGGGCGACCCAAAGATCCAGAACCAGATCCACGAGGTCAGGATCACGAACCAAACGATGTACCTCTACCCCAGCATCGAGGACGCCAGATTCCAGATAATGCAGCAGTTGTTCGCCTGGCAGGCCATCGTCACCTCGCAGGTGAGGCTCCAGAGCTCGAGGTACCAAGTGGGTCTCGACAAACCAGAGTCCGGGACCTACAGGAACCTCCTGACGAAGTTACCTGGAGGCAAAACCCCCCTGGAAGCCGCCTACGAGGCTGTCGAGTCCAAGATGAAGGACATCGCTGATTACGTTGACCAGTGGCTGCGGTATCAGGCCCTCTGGGACCTCCAGCCAGACAACCTGTACGGAAAACTCGGCGAGGACATCAACCTCTGGATGAAGTGCCTCAACGACATCAAGAAGACACGAACGACATTCGACACCTCAGACACACGACGAGAGTTTGGCCCCGTGATAATCGACTTTGCCAAAGTGCAGAGTAAAGTCTCACTGAAGTACGACTCCTGGCACAAGGAGACGCTGGGAAAATTCGGGGCCCTTCTGGGCAACGAGATGGTGGGATTCCACGGACAAGTGTCGAAATCCAGGAGTGACCTCGAGCAGCAGTCGATCGAGGCTGCCAGCACGACCGACGCTGTTGGATTCATCACGTACGTTCAGTCCCTGAAGAGGAAGATGAAGGTGTGGGAGAAGCAGGTGGACGTCTACAGAGAGGGTCAGAGGATCCTGGAGCGTCAGAGGTTCCAGTTCCCCACGAGCTGGCTGCACGTCGACAACATCGAGGGCGAGTGGGGGGCCTTCAACGAGATCATCAAACGAAAGGACTTGAGTATTCAGACACAGGTGGCCAGCCTCCAGATGAAGATCGTCGCCGAGGACAAGGCCGTTGAGACTAGAACAACGGACTTCCTGAATGACTGGGAGCGAGGGAAACCGGTGGAGGGGCATCTCCGCCCTGACGACGCCCTCCAGCAGCTCCAGCTGTTCGAGAGTAAATTCGCGAGGCTCAAGGAGGAGCGCGACAACGTGGCCAAAGCGAAAGAGGCCCTCGAGCTGCAGGAGCCAGGTGGTGTGTCGACGAGTGAAGACAGGATGCTCGTGGTCTTCGAGGAGCTGCAGGACCTGCGTGGCGTCTGGTCCGAATTATCCAGGATCTGGGCGCAAATCGACGAGACGAGGGAAAAGCCCTGGCTGTCAGTACAGCCGAGGAAACTTCGTCAGCAACTGGACACGATGATGGCTCAGCTGAAGGAGCTCCCAGCGAGGCTACGACAGTACTCCTCCTACGAGTACGTCAAGAAGATGCTGCAGAACTACACCAAAGTGAACATGTTAATAGTCGAGCTGAAGTCTGATGCCTTGAAGGAGCGCCACTGGAAGCAGCTGACGAAGCAGCTGCGAGTCAATTGGATCCTGAGTGAGCTCACCCTGGGACAGGTGTGGGACGTTAATCTCCAGAAGAACGAGAGCATCGTCAAGGACATAATCCTCGTGGCGCAGGGGGAGATGGCCCTCGAGGAGTTCCTGAAGCAGGTCAGGGAGTCCTGGCAGACCTACGAGTTGGACCTCATCAACTACCAGAGCAAGTGCAGACTGATCAGGGGCTGGGACGACCTCTTCAACAAGGTGAAGGAGCACATTAACTCGGTCGCTGCAATGAAGCTGTCGCCGTACTACAAAGTCTTCGAGGAGGAGGCCCTCACCTGGGAGGAGAAACTCAACAGGATCAACGCGTTGTTCGACGTCTGGATCGACGTGCAGCGTCGCTGGGTCTACCTCGAGGGAATTTTCTCGGGGAGTGCTGACATCAAGACCCTTTTGCCTGTCGAAACCTCCAGATTCCAGAGCATCAGCTCTGAGTTCCTGGGGCTCATGAAGAAGGTCTCCAAGTCCCCGATGGTGATGGACGTGCTGAATATTCCAGGGGTGCAGAGGGCCCTCGAGCGTCTGGCTGATCTTCTTGGGAAGATCCAGAAGGCCCTTGGGGAGTACCTGGAGAGGGAGAGGACCTCCTTCCCTCGGTTCTACTTCGTTGGAGACGAGGATCTCCTCGAGATCATTGGAAACAGCAAGAACGTGGCTAGACTCCAGAAGCACTTCAAGAAGATGTTCGCCGGGGTGGCTGCCATCATCCTGAACGAGGAGAACAACGTCATCCTGGGGATTGCCTCCAGGGAAGGGGAGGAGGTGTACTTCCAGAGTCCAGTGTCAACGATCGATCATCCCAAGATCAACGAGTGGCTGACCCTCGTCGAGAAGGAGATGCGAGTGACACTGGCCTCGAGCCTGGCCAAAGCTGTGCAAGACATCAAGCAGTTTAAGGACGGCAACATCAACGCTCAGGCCTTCATGTCCTGGTGCGACAACTACCAAGCGCAGATAATTGTTCTTGCCGCCCAGATCCTGTGGTCTGAGGACGTCGAGGCTGCTCTCCACGAGGCCCAGGCTGATCCCACCAAAAACCCCCTCGAGAGAGTGCTGCTGCAGGTCGAGGGCACCCTCAATGTCCTCGCTGACTCCGTCCTCCAGGAGCAGCCGGCCCTGCGACGAAAGAAGCTCGAGCACTTGATCAACGAATTCGTTCACAAGAGGACTGTCACGAGACGATTGATCGCGAATAAAGTCAACAATCCGAAGGCTTTTGAGTGGCTCTGCGAAATGAGGTTCTACTTTGATCCACGTCAGACTGAGGTGCTCCAGCAGCTGACGATTCACATGGCCAATGCCAAGTTCTTCTATGGGTTTGAGTATCTGGGGGTGCAGGATCGGTTGGTGCAGACTCCACTGACTGATCGTTGCTATCTCACCATGACACAGGCACTCGAGGCTAGGCTGGGAGGCTCTCCTTTTGGACCTGCTGGCACTGGCAAGACTGAGTCTGTGAAGGCCCTGGGGCATCAGCTGGGGAGATTCGTTCTGGTTTTCAACTGCGATGAGACCTTCGACTTCCAGGCGATGGGCAGGATTTTTGTGGGACTCTGTCAGGTGGGGGCGTGGGGGTGCTTCGACGAGTTCAATCGTCTCGAGGAGAGGATGCTGTCTGCTGTCTCGCAGCAGGTGCAGACCATACAGGAGGCCCTCAAGAGCCAGATGGAGGGGAAGAAGGAGGGGACCTTGTGTGTGGAACTCGTTGGGAAACAGGTCAAAGTCTCCACAGACATGGCCATCTTCATTACTATGAATCCTGGGTATGCTGGACGCTCCAATCTCCCGGACAACTTGAAGAAGTTGTTCAGGTCACTGGCTATGACCACTCCTGATAGGCAACTTATCGCTGAGGTCATGCTGTTCAGTCAAGGGTTCAGGTCTGCTGAGAAACTCGCCTGCAAGATTGTGCCTTTCTTCAAGCTCTGCGATGAACAGCTGTCCAATCAGTCGCATTATGACTTTGGGCTCAGGGCTTTGAAGTCCGTTCTCATATCTGCGGGGAATGTCAAGAGGGACAGGATTCAGAGGATCAAGGAGGGCATGCAGGGGCGCGGGGAGACTAATATCGATGAGGCGTCCATTGCTGAGAACCTGCCCGAACAGGAGATTCTTATCCAGTCGGTCTGCGAGACCATGGTGCCTAAACTTGTCGCTGAGGATATTCCATTGCTCTTCAGCCTGCTGAATGACGTTTTCCCGAATGTTAATTATACGAGGGCGGAGATGAAAGGTAGATATTTCAGTTTATGGAGATTGTTTTTTATTTTTCCATTTTATTTTGCGTTTTTTTATTGTTATGTAGTTTGTTTTTTGAATTTATTCAATAACTTGCTTGGGTTTTTGAGTGATAATGTGAATATTCGGTGCCAAATAATTAATTTTCAGCTGAGTTTCCCAGATATTTCAGTTTTTTTATTGTTATGTAGTTTATTTTTTGAATTTATTCAATAACTTGCTTGGGTTTTTGAGTGATAATGTGAATATTCGGTGCCAAATAATTAATTTTCAGCTGAGTTTTCCCGATTTCTAGATTTTTAGGAATAATTGAAATGAAGTTTACTTTTGAAGTTGAATTTTGACTTTTCAATGACGAATTTCCTAGAAATTTGAGCCGAAATTTTTTAACAGTGTATTTCAAGTCCAGAGATAACTATAAAAAATTAATTTTCTCAGGAAATAAAATTTATTCACTCATCAATCATGCTCAACATTTTGTCACGCCTCAGAATGAAACGAAATTTCCACGATTTATATTTTAGTTTATGGGAATCAACATTTTTATTGATGAATAAATTCACCAATTTACTTGAGTTTTCAATGAAATTATGAATATTCCGATTTTCATGGAATAATTAAAGTTAAGTTTACAGTTTCTATTCACTTTTTCATAGAATTTGGACTTTCCGATGACGAAATTTCTTGAAATTGCAGCCAAAAATTTCTGATAGTGTCCTTCAAGTCCAGATATAACTGTGAAAAAATCATTTGCTCACAAAAGAAACTGCATTCATCAATCATTCTCAACATTTTAATTTATCATGAATTCTCATGTTCATTTTTTTGTTTCATTCAATTTTATTTATTTATTTCTTTGAATTTTTATTCTTTTGATTTTATTTTGTCATTATTTTACTTTGGACATCATGTAAGATCAGTTTTGTAATAAGGATATAATTAGTAAAGCTTTTCCTCAGAATCTATTACATGTCCCATGTTATTTTACAGTCAATACAGTGAAAACATCACATTTAGTGTCAAAATAATGTCACTTCAAATAATTTGTTTCGTATTTCTTCAGGTTTAAAAGATCAAATCAGGAAAGTCTGTGCTGAAGAATACCTCGTGTGTGGCGAGGGCGACGAACAAGGAGGTGCTTGGCAGGAGAAGGTATGTTATTATATCTTCATATTCTTGGAGATAAAGATACTTGAGAATTGCAATTACATTAAGTGCTGTAGCATCCCTGGCATATGCACATGTAGCATGTCAAATTGTAATGAATACTCACATAATTTCAATAATTAACGTACACTAGTTGAGGAAAGAGAATATTCAGTAGTGAAGTGATGAAACAAAACAAATCAATTTTCTTCGAGATTAAATTATTATTGTTTTATTATTTTTGCAGTCATTCAAATTTGAGTTATGAATTTTTCGTGTTAGGGTAAATAAATATTCGAATTTCATTAATTTTTTTTATGAATATAGACTTTATCACGCTCTATTCATTGACAACAATTAAGATTCAATTTTCATTTAAATTTTCAATTAAACAAATTGGTATCTAAATGGAATTAATCATGGCTCAAAAATTTTATAACAATAATAACAACAATAACAATAATAGCAATAATAATTGCTAATTGTTTTTTTTTTCATCAATAGAACTCCAGATTTTTTAGCAGCAAAAAAACTGAAATCTCCAATTTACTTGAATTTTCATAAAAACAATTCAAGAATATATTTATATTAATTTTCCTGACTTCTATCGATTTATCTGGAACAATTCAACCGAAATTTTCGGTTTTCATTGATTTTTTCCTAATAAAAATATTAAACAATGCACTTCAGGTCCAGAGATAACTATAACAAACTCACTTCCCCAGAACAGAAACTGCATTCAATCACCCACCACCCTCACTATTTTTTCATGCAGAATGCAAGTCAGTTTCATCCCCATAATTGATTAGCGAGCCATTAAAAATTAAAAAATTAAATTGTGCCCTTCACCACTGAATCCCCTCCTGTAACATGCTAGAAAGTCATGAAAATGTAACTGCATAACCCGTAACAATATTTTTTATCATGCACGCTCAAAGGAATTGGTCGGTGAGACATGGGTAGAAAAGGTGAGAAAGGGGAAAACCCCAAATCGATGTCGTCCCATAATTGTCGTAAAATCCTCATCACCCTGCTCGTTCCCCGTGCGAATACTCCCCAGGCCGTTCCCCAAGCCTCCTCTAATCCCATCAATACTCTCCCCCAGGTGCTGCAACTCTACCAGATCTGCAACCTGAACCACGGTCTGATGATGGTGGGTCCGAGTGGCTCCGGCAAGTCCACAGCCTGGCGCGTCCTCCTGAAGGCCCTCGAGCGCTTCGAGGGGGTCGAAGGTGTGGCCCACGTGATCGACCCCAAGGCCATCAGCAAGGAGACCCTCTACGGAGTGCTAGACCCCAACACGAGAGAGTGGACAGACGGTCTGTTCACCCACATCCTCAGAAAGATAATCGACAACGTTCGTGGCGAGATAAACAAGCGCCAGTGGATCATCTTCGACGGGGACGTGGACCCCGAATGGGTGGAGAACCTCAACTCAGTCCTCGACGACAACAAACTGCTGACCCTCCCCAACGGCGAGCGCCTCAGTCTCCCCCCGAACGTCCGAGTGATGTTCGAGGTTCAGGACCTGAAGTACGCAACACTGGCCACAGTCTCCCGCTGTGGAATGGTCTGGTTCTCCGAGGACGTTCTCTCCACCGAGATGATCTTCGAGAACTACCTGCTGCGGCTGAAGAACATTCCCCTGGAGGACGGCGAGGACGACAACCTGGGTAAGAAGACCGAGAAAGAGGACATGATATCCCCAGCACTGTCAGTCCAACGTGAGGTTGCCAGCATCTTCCAGAGCTACTTCGCCCCCGACGGTCTGGTCGTGAGGTGCCTGGAGTACGCAATGAAACAAGAGCACATAATGGACTTCACCAGACTTCGAGCCCTGAGCTCCCTCTTCTCGATGCTGAATCAGGCGGTTCGAAACGTCCTGCAGTACAACCACGCACACACAGACTTCCCCCTCCCCAGTGAGCAGCTGGAGCGCTACATGCCGAAGTGCCTCATCTACGCCCTCCTCTGGAGCTTCGCTGGAGACGCCAAGCTGAAGGTCCGGTCAGACCTGGGTGACTTTGTGAGATCAATAACGACGGTTCCCCTCCCGGCGCAGTCCAGCATTGCTATCATTGACTTCGAGGTGAACATCCACGGGGAGTGGCTGCCCTGGAGCAACAAAGTACCCCAGATCGAGGTGGAGACCCACAAGGTCGCGAGCCCCGACATCGTGGTGCCGACCCTCGACACAGTCAGGCACGAGAGTCTACTGTACACTTGGCTGGCTGAGCACAAGCCCCTGGTCCTCTGTGGGCCCCCAGGCTCTGGCAAGACAATGACACTGTTCTCAGCCCTGAGAGCACTCCCTGACATGGAGGTCGTGGGCCTCAACTTCTCCTCAGCGACGACCCCAGAGCTCCTCCTGAAGACGTTCGATCACTACTGCGAGTACAGGAAGACCCCGAATGGAGTTGTTCTGTCACCAGTGCAGCTGGGGAAGTGGCTGGTGCTGTTCTGCGACGAGATCAATCTCCCAGACATGGACCACTACGGAACCCAGAGGGTGATATCGTTCCTGAGGCAGCTGGTGGAGCACAGGGGATTCTACAGGACGAGTGACCAGGCCTGGGTGTCCCTGGAGAGGATTCAGTTCGTTGGGGCTTGCAATCCCCCCACCGACCCCGGGAGGAAGCCCCTGAGCCACAGGTTCCTGAGGCACGTGCCTGTTATCTACGTGGATTACCCTGGGGAGACCTCCCTCAAGCAGATCTACGGAACGTTCACCAGAGCCATGCTGAGGCTGACTCCCTCGTTGAGGGGGTATGCTGAGCCCCTGACCAACGCAATGGTCGAGTTCTACCTGGCCTCGCAGGAGAGGTTCACCCAGGACATGCAGCCACACTACGTTTATTCGCCACGTGAGATGACGAGGTGGGTGAGGGGCATCTGCGAGGCAATCAGACCGCTCGACAGTCTCTCGGTTGAGGGGCTTGTTCGTCTCTGGGCTCACGAGGCCCTCCGGCTGTTCCAGGATCGCCTGGTGGAGGACTCAGAGCGCGCCTGGACGAACAAGAACATCGACATTGTCGCGCTGAAGCACTTCATGGGGGTCGATCGTGATAAGGCACTTGCCAGACCCATTTTGTACAGCAATTGGCTGTCCAAGGACTACGTTCCTGTCAACAGGGACGAGTTGAGGGAGTACGTGAGGGCTAGGCTCAAGGTGTTCTACGAGGAGGAGCTGGACGTTCCTCTGGTGCTGTTCGACGAGGTCCTGGAGCATGTGCTGCGCATTGACAGGATCTTCAGGCAGCCTCAGGGGCATTTGTTGCTGATTGGGGTGTCTGGCGCTGGGAAGACCACTCTGTCGAGGTTCGTGGCTTGGATGAATGGGCTGTCTATCTTCCAGATTAAGGTGCATAATAAGTACACTGGGGAGGACTTCGATGAGGACCTCAGGCAGGTCCTCAGGAGGTCGGGGTGCAAGGACGAGAAAATCGCTTTTATTCTGGATGAGTCGAATGTCTTGGATTCTGGGTTCTTGGAGAGGATGAATACGCTTTTGGCTAATGGGGAGGTTCCTGGGCTGTTTGAGGGCGATGAGTACACGACGCTCATGACTCAGTGCAAGGAGGGAGCCCAGAGGGAGGGACTCATGCTGGATTCAAATGAGGAGCTGTACAAGTGGTTCACTGGACAAGTCATGAAGAATCTGCATGTTGTCTTCACGATGAATCCCAGCACTGATGGCCTCAAGGATCGCGCTGCCACGTCACCTGCGCTGTTCAATCGCTGTGTTCTCAATTGGTTTGGCGATTGGTCGGATAATGCGCTGTTCCAAGTGGGGAAGGAGTTCACGAGTCGAGTCGATCTCGAGAGACCGTCCTGGAAGTGCCCCGATTTCTTCCCGTCGGTCTGCTCGCTTATTCCGGCGCAGGCCACTCACAGGGATGCTGTCATCAATGCCTGTGTCTATGTGCATCAGACTCTTCACAAGGCCAATGCCAGGCTGGCGAAGAGGGGCAGCAGGACGATGGCCATCACGCCGAGACATTATCTTGATTTTATCAATCATTTTGTCAAGCTGTATCAGGAGAAGAGGAGCGATCTCGAGGAGCAACAGCTGCATCTCAATGTGGGGCTGAGTAAAATTGCGGAGACTGTGGAGCAGGTGGAGGAGATGCAGAAGAGTTTGGCTGTGAAATCGCAGGTATTTTAGTTGGGATGGGGTTGATGATGCACTGTTTTAGTAGTGGAACGGTAAAAAGGTTTGGGGGTGTACAAGTCTCTTTTACAGTTTGGTAGACACACTAGGGGTGGAATCATTTTCAATCATCAAGTTCGTGATTTCAATTGCGAGGGAAACATTTGAAGAAATCGAGAATATTCGGCGTTATTCAAATTACATTTTGCACAGAATAATAATGTTAATGAATAATTGAAATTATTTGGAGTTTCGGAAACCTTATTTTCTCAGGCATGAAATCGATTTCTGGTAAAATTCTGGATATGAATAAATTTGTTATGACTCCGAAGAAATAATTTTTGTGATGGAAAATTGATTGTTTCTAAATTATTTATAGAAAATGCTCGTAATTTTGAAAAATTGCGATTTTTCAATTATTTCATCAATTTTCCTCGTAAAGTAAACTTTCTAATTTTTTTTGCTTCCGAATGGAAGTTTTGTAATCGTTTAAATTTAAGTTTTGGATTTTTTGTCATATGGACTCAATATGATCCAAAAAAATTTTCTTTAATTCACTAATTCAATTCTTCGCTAATGAATGGATAGAATTGAATCTCTCTTTCAAATGTAGGTAGGTATGTTGAGCCCTATCGATCACCACCAATTAAAATTTAATTCATCGATTAGTTTTTTTAATTTTCGAATTTCTCGAAAACCGATTGTCTCACGATAACTGAAAAAAAAGTTCTCAATTGATTGAATGATGACTTACAAAATCTCCGTAGTCATCTTTTTCGAAGCTCTCAATTCGCTCTGCAAAAAAGGTCAAAGCAAAAATTTTGTTGTCTTAAATTCCAAGATATTCCCGGAAATCTGATCAGTAGTCAAAATAAACTCAAACCGTTTTACGGCTTCGCTACTATTTTCTCAATGTCTCGATGATGTCGTCATTTCCTGTTTCCCTTCAGGAACTTCAAGCTAAGAATGAAGCCGCCAACGCCAAACTCCGTCAAATGGTGAAGGATCAGCAAGAAGCTGAGAAGAAGAAAGTCCAGAGTCAAGAGATCCAGCAGCAGCTGGCAATCCAGACTGTCGCTATCGACCAGAAGAGAGAGTCCGTCATGGCTGACCTGGCCCAGGTGGAACCAGCAGTCATCGACGCCCAAACTGGTAAGACTCACATCAACACCATCAATCTCAATTTGTGTATCTCAAATTTCGTCACAGCACTCCCTCAATTTATCTCTGATTTCCCCCTCCACTCCTCTGTGTGGAATTTCTCGCCTTCATAATTTCATTGCGAGTCTAGCCGTCAAAGGAATAAAACGTCAGCACTTGGTGGAAATACGATCAATGGCAAATCCTCCTGCATTAGTTAAGCTAGCACTCGAATCAATGTGCTTCTTGCTCGGTGAAAATGCAACTGATTGGAAGCAGATACGCGCTGTCTCAATGAAGGACAGCTTCATACCCACTATCGTCAATTTCAACACTGAGGATATGACGTAAGAAACGAAATAATCAACAGCAACAGCACAGTCGTCTTAAATCGAGCTATTGATGAATGTATCGATGCCTCAGCTGGGAATTCTAATCAACGACGTATTAATAACTCGCTTTTGTTTGTTATTCGTTAATTAAATGCACATTTTTATCATTCTGGAGGGGATGGGGCTAAATGGATTGGATAATAACTAGAAATTAAGGGTATCCAAGCACTTTAGCTATTTATTCTGCAGTGAAATGCTTTTCTTTTAAACTCAATTTGACCCTAAATTTCCAAACATTTTACAAATATTTTATTACTTAAACTTGATCGTTAGAAATTTTTTTTTAAATCTGAATAAAAAAATTGAAAGTTTACTTTTGGAGAAAGATTGATTAAATAATTTAAAAATTACAATTTTTGATAATTACGAGTATTTTTTATAAATAATTTATAAACAATCAATTTTCTTCGTATTCAAAATTGCAAACAAATCAATTTCATGCCTAAAAAAATTAGATTCACGAAAGTTTAAACAATTTCAATTATTTATTCATAAACAATGAATGTTAAAAAAATAATAATTCTCTGCAATATGTAATTTAATTGACAAATTTGATGATTGAAAATGGTTGAACCTAAAGTGTGGTTTTTACCAAACTGTGAAAGACACTTGGATATCCTTAATGGTCCATTTTCCCCACCCTTTCCTCAATCATTGTCTTTCCAGCACAAGAATAAGTATTAACACGGCAGCTAAACGATAAGAGGATCAGTGAGGAGCTTTTAAATGCAAAAAACGAATAACTTTTGTATATTGTTTAATTGTCTCTCTCTCTTCTTGTTATTATTGTCTAAAGGATTTTATGTGTTCTAATTACTCACATGGACAATCGTTTAATTTTGTCGTATAGCGGTGAAATCAATAAAGAAACAGCACTTGGTCGAAGTACGTTCCATGGCAAATCCACCTGCAATCGTCAAAGTTGCATTGGAATCAATCTGCCTTTTACTTGGTGAAAATGCTAGTGACTGGAAGTCAATTCGCGCTGTCATCATGAGGGACAATTTTATCAATACCATTGTCTCTAATTTCAGTACTGAGGACATAACGTAAGCATGCTTCTTACAAATAATTTGTAAATGAAATGTTTGAGCGAATTATCTGCTGTTTTTTTTGGAGATTAGAGGAAACCAGTTGACATGACGCGTTTTTGGATCGTTTTTTATGCGATTTAGGGAGCTTTGGCTACCAGTTATTGGAAAATTTGCTACTCGTGACATGTCTGCTGGATTATGAAATCATTTGATTACATGTTTTGGTAAAATGCATGCTATGAAAGATTAATCATTAATATGCTTGTGCTAACTGTGTTTAAATGATTGTTTTTATAAGTTTGGGACTTTGGGATGGAGTTTTGGGAGACTGTGGTAAATGGTTCTGGAATTGTTTCTCATTGAAGGGATGTTCGTTGTTGGGAAAAATGAAATTTCGTGGACCGTTGACCTGGCATTTTTAGGGGAGGGGCATTAAAGTTTATTTAGGGGGAAAATTATGAAATTGTAAGTTCAAGGAAGTTCCAAGTTTTTGAGCGGAGAGATGGCAATACGAAAATTTAATTGAATGGTCAATCAAAACGTGAACATTCAGGACCAAATTACATTGAATTTTTAATTTATTGAGAATTCAAGTCTATGTTTATTTGAATTTTCTTGAGTTTTATTCGTTTTTATGGAATTGAACTGAAATTTCCAGTTTCCTTTGATTTTTCCATAAAGTTTTAAATTTTCCCTGACGAAATCCATTGAATTTACGAGAAAATTCTGCGATTCTAACATTGTTTCTTATTAAAGATATGTTCACTATTGGAAAAGAATTGAAATTTCATCGACATTAATTTCAATTTAGGGGGAAAAATCCTGAAATTGCAGAGTTGACTAAAAATTCAATGAAATTCCAAGATTTTGAGTATCAAAAGAAGAGAATTCTCGAACATACTTGAATTTTCAATCAGAACATGAATATTCAGGACGAAATGACACTAAATTTTCGATTTATTGAAAATCCAAGAATATATTTATGTCAACATTCAGGATTTCATTCATTTCCCCGGAAAAATCGAACTGAAATTTCCAGTTTCCATTGATTTCTCCATAAAGTTTTCAATTTTCACTGACGAACTTCGCCGAATAAACTTGAACCGGAACTATAACGTGATAACAATGTCTGAAAAATTCAGCTAAAAATAATTAACAGTGTAAAACAAAATTCCATTTTATCGATTTACCACAGTCTCTCTCCACCGAAGTAAATTCCCCAACTAATTGACAAAATTCTCATTGAAATCCTCCAGTGACGAAGTTCGTGAAAAAATGAAGAGTCGTTACCTCAGCAATCCTGACTACAACTTTGAGAAAGTCAATCGTGCGAGTATGGCGTGCGGACCTATGGTGAAGTGGGCAACTGCTCAGGTGAATATCTTCCCCCCGCCCCCCCAAAAAAAAAAAATTTAATGAGAATTAGAATTTAGAGAGCGGGGCTTTCTCCCAACTAAGCTACCGGGAACTACGGAAATTCTCCCTTCAAATTCATCTCTCAACACTGTCTAACCACCTCTCAGCATTAAATAAACAGACGTAAAGAGAATTAGCCCCCCCAATTATCATCAACAGCGTTCCTAATACTTCGCCCAACCCAAAAAATAGGAACCTTAAAGTAGCTCCACCCTTACGGTAAATTCAAAGATAATTGAAAACTGCAAAAAAATTGCAGAAAACTCGATTAGATTCGGAATTCTAATTTTTTTCTCAATTTAATTATCGTTTTGGTTTTTCAAAGAAGAGATGTTTAAAAATCAGGATTTAACCCTGTGTCTTATATGAAAATCAACATTTCCATTGTAATCAAAAATTAAAATCTGAATTGTTTTATCATTAGATGTGAAAAATCAACAATTTTTTTGACACCTCATAAAAAGTAATCCACCGTTTTGCAAACAAGTTTTATTATTTATTTACAAAAGAGAAATGTTTGAAAAAATATCAATATTTTGCGAAATTTAATTTAGATAATACTGACTGGGTATGAATTTTTCAAATTGTTTCCATGCAATTTAGTTGAAAAATTGAAAAACTGAATCCCATCCCAAAGCTGCCCTCCGGCGCCAAAAAACATAAAGCCCCTGAATCCACGACTGAACACCCCCACGATTTCCCCACCAGGTTGAGTACGCCGACATGCTGAAGCGAGTGGAGCCCCTGCGCGAGGAGCTGTACTCCCTGGAGCGCCAGGCCGAGACCAACAAAGAGAAAGGCGAAGAGGTGAAGCACCTGATAGCGCAGCTGGAGCTGAGCATCGCATCCTACAAGGAGGAGTACGCCCAGTTGATCTCCCAAGCCCAAGCCATCAAGACAGACCTGGAGAACGTCCAGGGGAAGGTGGACCGTTCGATCGCCCTGATAAAATCCCTGGTGATCGAGCGGGAGAGATGGGAGGCAACGAGCGAGACCTTCAGAAGCCAGATGTCCACGATAATCGGCGACGTCCTCCTGTCCTCTGCCTTCCTGGCATACGCTGGTTACTTCGACCAGCACTACCGCCAGAACCTCTTCACGACGTGGTGCCAGCACCTGCACCACGCGAACCTTCAGTTCCGCCCTGACATCGCGCGAACAGAATACCTATCGAACCCCGACGAACGCCTGCGCTGGCAGGCGAACGCTCTCCCGACAGACGACCTCTGCACGGAGAACGCAATAATGCTGAAACGCTTCAACAGATATCCCCTGATAATCGACCCCTCAGGCCAGGCCACCGAGTTCATAATGAACGAGTTCAAGGACCGAAAGATCACGAAGACGAGTTTCCTGGACGACTCCTTCAGGAAGAACCTGGAGAGTGCCCTGAGGTTCGGCAATCCCCTGCTGGTGCAAGACGTCGAGAACTACGACCCCATCCTCAACCCAGTGCTGAACAGAGAGCTGAGAAGAACTGGGGGCAGAGTGCTGATCACCCTGGGCGACCAGGACATCGATCTCTCCCCCTCGTTCGTGATTTTCCTCTCGACCCGAGACCCAACGGTGGAGTTCCCCCCAGACATCTGCTCTCGCGTGACCTTCGTCAACTTCACAGTCACCAGGAGCTCCCTCCAGAGCCAGTGCCTGAACCAAGTGCTGAAGGCAGAGCGTCCAGACATCGACGAGAAGCGATCCGATTTACTCAAGCTGCAAGGGGAGTTCCACCTTCGTCTGAGGCAGCTGGAGAAGTCCCTGCTGCAGGCTCTGAACGACGCCAAAGGAAAGATTCTAGACGATGACTCAGTCATCACAACCCTCGAGACACTGAAGCAAGAGGCTGCAGACATCAGCAAGAAGGTCGAGGAGACTGACAAGGTCATCGCCGAGATTGAGACTGTCTCACAGCAGTACATGCCACTCTCCCAGGCCTGCTCCAACATGTACTTCACCATGGACTCCCTGAACCAGATCCACTTTTTGTATCAGTACTCCCTGAAGATGTTCCTGGACATCTTCACCTCAGTCCTATCCCAGAATCCCAAACTATCAGGGATATCTGACTACACCCAGAGGCTCTCCCTCATCACGAGTGATTTATTCTCAGTTTGCTACGAGAGAGTGGCTCGTGGAATGCTGCACGCTGACAGATTGACCTTCGCCCTTCTCCTCTGCAGAATCCACCTGAAGGGGATCTCCACAGAGTCCACCTACGACCAGGAATTCACGTTCTTCTTACGAGGAAAAGAGGGAGTTCTCAACGTCAGGGGCCCGATGATCCAGTGCCTGAGCTCCGAGCAGCAGGAGGCCATGCTGAGACTGAGCTTGAGGCTCCCAGCGTTCAAGAAACTCGCCCAGAACATCCAGGACGACCAGGACTTCGCTACTTGGCTGCAGTCGTCGAACCCCGAGACCCAAGTGCCCAAACTCTGGGAGGAGGAGAAGCCCCTGACCCCAATAGGCACAGCAGTCCACCAGCTCCTGATAATCCAGGCATTCAGGCCAGACAGGGTGATAGCAGCAGCGGCGTTATTCATCTCTGCAGCCCTTGGGGAGAAGTTCATGGCAGCTGCAGAAGTGGAATTGGACTTTGCGTCAGTAGTTGAGAACCAGTTGAAGGCAGCAGTGCCAGCTTTACTCTGCTCAGTCCCAGGATTCGATGCGTCAGGGAGGGTGGACGATCTGGCAGCCGAACTGGGGAAGCAAATAGTCAGCATTGCGATTGGATCTGCTGAGGGCTTCAACCAGGCGGACAGAGCCATCAACATGGCTGTTAAGGCCGGCAGATGGGTGATGCTTAAGAACGTTCACCTGGCGCCTCAGTGGCTCGTGCAACTCGAGAAGAAGCTCCACAGCCTCCAGCCCCACGCTGGCTTCAGGCTCTTCCTCACGATGGAGATCAACCCGAAGGTGCCGGTAAATCTGCTGAGGGCTGGTAGGATATTCGTATTTGAGCCTCCACCAGGCATCCGGGCCAATCTCCTGAGGACATTCAGCACAGTTCCTGCCTCGAGGATGATGAAGCCGCCCAATGAGAGGGCTAGGCTGTATTTCCTGCTGGCCTGGTTCCACGCCATCGTCCAGGAACGCCTGAGGTACTCCCCCCTGGGGTGGGCCAAGTACTACGAGTTCAATGAGAGCGATCTTCGAGTGGCCTGCGACACCCTGGACACATGGATCGAGGCCACAGCCATGGGGAGGACCAATCTCCCACCTGAGAAGGTCCCCTGGGACGCCCTCGTGACGCTACTCTCCCAGTGCATCTACGGTGGGAAGATCGACAACGATTTCGATCAGCGACTGCTCGCCTCCTTTCTGAGGAAACTGTTCACCCCCAGGTCCTTCGAGTCTGATTTCGCTCTCGTAGCGAACTTCGATGGGGGCTCGCAGGGCAGTCAGAGGCACATTACCATGCCCGATGGCACGAGGAGGGACCACTTCTTGAAGTGGATAGAGTCCTTGTCGGATAGGCAGACGCCGTCCTGGCTGGGGCTTCCCAACAACGCTGAGAAGGTTCTCCTGACGACTCGTGGGACGGATTTAGTGTCGAAACTCCTGAAGATGCAGCAGCTGGAGGATGAGGATGAGCTCGCTTACTCACACGACGAGTCCCTGGACGCTCCGAGGGAGGCCGAGGGCGATGGAAGACCCTCGTGGATGAGGGTTCTTCATAATTCTGCGTCCACCTGGCTGCAGCTCCTACCTAAGAACCTGCAGACACTCAAGAGGACTGTCGAGAATATTAAGGACCCTCTGTACAGGTACTTCGAACGAGAGGTAAACAGTGGGGCCAAACTCCTGCAGGACGTCATCCACGACCTGGAGGATGTGGTGCTGATCTGCCAAGGGGAGAAGAAGCAGACGAACTACCACAGGACGATGCTCTCCGAGCTGGTGAAGGGGATTCTGCCGGCTGGATGGAGGAGGTATACAGTGCCACGAGGCTGCACCGTCATCCAGTGGATCACTGACTTCAGTCACAGGGTGTCACAGCTCCAGGAAGTCTCGCGTCTGGTGTCCCAGGGAGGGGCCAAGGAGATCAAGAGCTTTCCCGTTTGGCTGGGGGGTCTGCTGAACCCTGAGGCCTACATCACTGCCACCAGACAGTGCATTGCACAGGCCAACAGCTGGTCCCTGGAGGAGCTGCAGCTGGTGGTGACCATTGGCGATGGCGATAACATCGCCACTGACGACTGCTCCTTTGCTGTCACTGGGCTGAAGCTCCAGGGGGCACTTTGCAAGGACAATCAGCTGTATCTCACTTCCACCATCATGACTGATCTGCCTGTCACTATGCTGAGGTGGGTGAGGTCCTCGGGGGATGATGTCAGAAAGGGAAAATTGTCGCTACCTGTTTATCTCAACAGCACGAGGACTGAACTGCTGTTCACTGTGGACCTCAATACTGCTACCAATCAGGAGCCCCACAGCTTCTATGAGAGGGGCGTTGCGGTTCTCACTTCAACTGCTCTCAACTAATCGTGGATCAACCATTAGTTCGCATTATGTTATTATAAAATTGCAGTATTTGTTTGATGAGAATGGATATTGCACTCTCTGCATGTCTCACTGCTTTTTTCAATGAGGAAGGGATGTGTTTTGTTCTTTGTAATTCTTTTCTAATGGACTTTAGTCGAGTATTTTTCTAAACTGCAATTACTGGCGGGCAATGAGTTTGAGGGATTATCAAGGCGAGATATGGTGGTTATATATTTATTGAATTGTTTTAATCTCATGTAGAATGAAGAAGCTTTTGTCTCCTATTATATGAAGAATAATATGATATTGTAATTTATTAGCCTTGAATAAATATGGCCTGTTGCCGGAAGAATGAAGAAAAGTGGACAATTTCATTTTTCATTGAAAAATCTGTTTTTAGAGAAATATAAATTCTTTAGAAACTGTATGAAGAATTGAATTTTAGGTGGTGTCAATAACTAGAGCTTATTGAAGTCTATATTCATGAAAAAATTAATGACATTCGGTTGATCTCATATAACAAAGTTTAAAAAAAAATAAAGGCAAAGGTGTCATGCATACAGACACCATCTGAACAAGTGGATAATGGCTTTTTTTAAATAAAAGAGTACAGTTATTCAAGCTACGGCGGTAAGCCATTGAGAAATGCGTTAATGGCGTTTTTTAGGAGTTTGCATTTTTCTTCTGCGGACAGGCATTCACGTTCAAGGGTTTCTGTGTTGATTACATCAGTATATCAATTTTTAACTCATTTAATGTCGTGCGACTTTTTACACAAATTTTCTAGAGCTGCTCTACACTGATTTACAGTACGAATGGGATCGAAAAAATCGCGCAGTTTAGTAGAGTACAACTGTATTCTTGCTAATAAATTAGCAATTTGCCTTCGAATGAGTTCTATTTTATTAATTCTTATTTCGTTGTTCTCTTCTTCTATTTTTTCATGTCGTAGTACTAAAATCAATTGAAACGTCATCAAAATTTCGCGTATTATTTCGTTCTGTCAAATAATTCTACATTCAGACCGTCAAATCGCATGAACAATGTGCTGTAACTCAACGAATTGTGCGACCCCCATGATATTTTGATAGACTCAAGAGGGTATTGTTATCAATTTTTTAAGCCGTGACTGATTCCATTTTAATGACAATTTTTTGAGTGATCATTGAAAAATCGATTTAAAAAAAAAACATTTTTTCGAATCTGTATGAAAAATTACATTTTAATTGGTGTCAATGAATACAGCAAAAAATAAAAAAATCAAATAAACATCACAGAAATCAAATCGATATATCTCTTTTATTATTTCATTACAGAAACGTCTCCATCTACTTATAAAAATCCTACAATTATTTACAAAAAAAAGATGAAACAAAGTCTTTCATTGACAAGTCGGTTTCGTTAAACACTTCATAATCAATTATGTTACAAGTTAAGTTGAGTACTCCCCCGTCGAGGATTTACAAAATGCCTTTGAACACATGTACAACAATTACGATAAACACAGTAAGCTCGACCATCAGTAGTTAAACCCCCTGAAAGTTCCATTTGTGCTCTCCAAGAATCTCAGAGATTCCCAAGACATCGAAACTCCTACCCCCCATTTCCAACGATCAAAATTTTCCACCTCGCGATGAGAAAACGCGATATCTCGTGCACGTAAAGAGATCCTTGCGCCAAAATACCGAAGCTCAACGAAAAAAAAGTCTACCAAACTCCTTGAATAATAAAATCACCGAATCTCAAGGTCCAAACGAAATAATCACACGAATTAACGAATTAATAATAAAATGTCTCGAGTCTTATATCACAGAAACGGTGGAGTCCGTTCCGCCAGTCTTCTCGTCACCCCCATTGTCATCGTGACTCATATCGTGGACTAGTGGTGCATCTTTATCGAAGACCATGGAATCCTGGCCAATTGGGGCAGCAGCATTGACAAGATTCTCGACCGATGCAGCAGCAACTGGAGGACTGCTGACGGAACTCCGTCGTAATGTCTGACTTGTTCTGTTAGTCCCACGCCTGATGCTGCTCCTGAGGAGATTAGCGACATCAGCAGCCGTGAGATTGGACGATCCACTCTGCAGTCTCCTGTTGCGTTCTATCGTCGAGTGAGTCCTCTCGACAGGACATCGCTCCAACGAGCTTATTCTCGTCATTCTGTCAATGGTATTTGGTCTGTGTCTGTCGTGATCCCTTGGGAGTGCTCCTGTGTCTGTGACGTCTGGTCGAGGCTCAATAGCGTGAACTGTGATGTCTTGGGACAGAATTGTCTGGTTCATCTCGACGAGAACTGTCGCATAGTCCGGTGGAGGGGGCTGGAGGGCTGCTCTCGCCCTCGGGGCACTGCCCTCACCCAGGACATTGGCGATCCTCCGGACACTTCGGCGAAAGCTCTGCCTCAGCATCTTTGCTATTCGAGCGCCTGTTGCTGTCGTGTAGCTCGGGGGTGGCGTGTACTTTGGGGGAGGATCCTCGAAGGGAATGGCGGAGGGCGTGGGGAGAACACCGTTTCCGTGGAGACTCGTCCCTGTCTCGGTGGGGTAGGCGCTCGGGGGGTGGCGACGGTCCTGGGGCTCCAGGGAGGGACGGTACAGCAGCTGAATTCGCTGGAATAGAGGAATTTTTGGTAATTTGGGGCAAGTAAACCTATTTTGACTATTGGGCAGTTTTCAATTAATATCTCGGAATCTAAGGGAGATGGCGAAATTTTTGTTGAGAACTTTTTTGTAGAGCCAATTGAGGACTACGATAAATGTGATTACGAAAATTTCGCTATCTGCCTTAGATTCGGAAATATTCCGCAAAAACTCAACTGGGAGATGAGTCGACTTGAACCGGCTTACCACTTTTATAAAAATTAATAAAATTGATTTATGGCATTGGGTGAGGCGAGGGGTAGTTGAAAATGTGAATGGTTTTTTTTTGGTTTTGGGAAAAATGAGAGAAAACTTTTCTTGAGTTTTCTCGGTGAATCATTCGTTTTAGAGATGATTGCAGGCTCGAAAATGTTTAAATCTGTTCTTGGGTAATTAATGCAGTAACTTATTGCAATGTTAGGAAGAATTGAAATTTAATGACGGATAATTTACAGGAGAGTAACAGTGAACTTGATTTTGAGGGAAAAAACATGAGATTTTAGATTTCACTGAGGATTCAATCAAATTGAAAATTTTTGAGCAGCAGGGAGACGGGAACTCCCCAGCTTACTTGAATTTTCAACGAAAATATCAATGTTCAGTGCCAAACTGGGCTGAATTTTCAGTGAATTAAAAATTAAAAAATATGTTCACCTGAATTTTTCGGATTTCTATCAATTTTCGTGGGATAATTGGACTGAAATCTAGTTTCTATTGATTTTTAGATAAAATGATGAATTTCACATAACGAAATTCTTTGTGAAATTTTAGTGAAACTTGAATGCAGTAAAATTTTTCAACAGTATTTAACGAATTGTGTTTCAATAGAAATTCTACAAATTTTGTTAGTTCTTCGATTGCTCCCTGATATTGAATTTTATTTCGGGAGAAAATAAAATCATTAAATGTTAGATCCCACTGAAAATTCAATGAAATTCCAACATTTTGAGCACCAGAAAGACAGCAATTCTCCAACTTACTTGAATTTTCAAATAATTAAAAATTCATCGATATATTTCCGTCAATTTTTCTGATTTCTACTAGTTTTCATCGAATAATTAAACTCAAATTAAAAATTTTTGTTGATTTTTCCACGAAATTCTCAATTTTAAATGAATTTCCAGGAAATTTCAGTGAAATTAAAACCTGTTAAATATTTTCAAGAAGTGTATTGAAAAATTTCATCCAAAATCTTTCTAAAGTGCATGATGAACTGTGTAATTGTGAATTGTGTAATTGCGTTTCAATAGAAATTCTTCAAATTTTGTTAGTTCTTCGATTTCTCCCTGATATTGAATTTTATTTCGGGAGAAAATAAAATCATTAAATGTTAGATCCCACTGAAAATTCAATGAAATTCCAACATTTTGAGCACCAGAAAGACAGCAATTTTCCAACTTACTTGAATTTTCAAGTAATTAAAAATTCATCGATATATTTCCCTCAATTTTTCTGATTTCTACTAGTTTTCATCGAATAATTAAACTCAAATTTAAAATTTTTATTGATTTTTCCCCGAAATTCTCTATTTTAAATGAATTTCCTCGAAATTTCAGTGAAATTAAAACCTGTTAAATATTTTCAAGAAGTGTATCGAAAAATTTCATCCAAAATCTTTCCAAAGTGCATGATGAACTCTGTAATTGTGAATTGTGTAATTGTGTTTCAATAGAAATTCTTCAAATTCTCTTACTTATTCGACTTACATTAGCGTTGCATTGCTCGCAATGAGTATAGTTTATCTCCACTTGTTCAGTCTTAACGAATGGCATAACAGAAAAAAAAAACACCCGTCCTCAATTTCCATTATTCATGGAGAAATGTTAATAGAGGAGAATCAGACGTAAATCGAAATGAAATTCAGCTATTCTCATCAATAATAAACAATGAATAATCATTGGGACACTCACATCGAATATATCCGGTGGTCCACTGTTCAAATACCGACAAGTTTGGATGATAGCAACTGCTGGGATTATTAATATCGGAATCAACTGTATCGCAGCTCCCAGCTGTCTAGCCCACACCGCCCAGTAGTCACGATTCGTTCTTCGATAGCTGTACAGATCGCGAAAACTGCTGCTTTTGAAGAGAGTGATGCTCAGCACCTTGACAGGACAACAGAATAATTGTTCAAGTAATTATGAAAATGAGGATGATGCCATTACACATGTCTAAAAACGAATAATTAGTGCAAAAAATTAATTGTTTATAGTTCGTTTGCCTCACAGATACTTAAAATGTTAAAAAATAGTCCAGGGCCTCCAATTTTTGAGCTACAGAGGTTTTACTTTTTCAAAATTTTAGAAAAAAATGTGTACAATATCAATTACGAATTAGTTTTTTGAAATTGGACTCCTACACAGCCAATTTCGTTTTGTTTAATATAAAAATTTGCGCCATTCATGTAAAACAGGCATAAAAATTATCCTTAAAATATTTAAAATATATTCTTGATTCTTTCAGAGATATTTTTTAGGCCGTTTTACATAAATGGTGCAATTTTTCATTAAAAAAATTAATAAATTAGCTGTGTAGGACTTGAATTTTAGGCAACTGATTCGTGATTGTTATTGTAGACATTTTTTCAATGGTTTGAAACAAAAATTCAAAAACTAAATTCAAACAAAACAATTATTTTTTTGGTAATTTCCAACTAACGATTATGTTGGGCCAAACAAGACTTGTTGGGAACTTGTTTGTTTTTCTTTCCCAATCAGTGGAGTCGTCTCCCCTTAACCGCAAAGCAGATAATTACCATAAGAGTTACTGGAAGTATAACATTCCACGTGAAAGACAGCAGAGGGCCAGCCCAGTGTCTCAAGCATCGTCCAGTTGGTGGAAACAATTCAGCAACTACAGCCTCTCCAGTATGTGGTCTACCCCTCACAGCGAAAACCGCACCGACTTGTACAAGGTACAGAACCATTATCCACCAGGCTCCACCGACAGTGTAATCCAAATAATAAACGACGTAAATACCGAACTGAAACATAAATTTTCGATATAATTCTCCTATTTTCTTGGTTGAATGGTTAATTAATTCGTCAGCAAAGGGGTGAAACCAAGTCGATTTTGATTATTGGCTAGTTGTTGAAGAATATCTCGAAACCTCAGGGAAATAGCGAAATTGTTGTCACGACCTTTTTTGTAGCGCTCAATTCGCTCTATAAAAAAGGTACCCACGAAAATTTCGTTATCTCCCTTATATTCTGAGATATTCCTCGAAAACACCTAAGAGTTAAATCGACTTGAATCGTTTTACCGCTTCGCTACTGAAGTTCGCTGTTGAATTCAAGGGAATTTGAACTTTACATGCCATATAAAAAATTAACTATGCAATTAATGACGACGTAGACAAGCTCTCCCTCATCTCCGTAACTTGAATATCAAGGAAAACGACGTTATTCCTAGTATACCCATCGTATCTCGTCAGAACCGTATGCGGAATAAACATATCGATCACAGAATCCCGTTCCCCACCGGTGCCCCCATCCTCCTTCAAGTTGGCTTTCGTCTTCACAATCTTCCTGACGCTATTCGCGGGATTCTCTTGGTCCCTCAAAGTGACACTGGCCCTCACAACGCACGGCCACTCCAGCAGGGGATCCCAAGGGCCCTCCACCACTTGCAAACATCCAATTACATTGCGATCCCTCCACCTGTCCCTCCCGTTCAAATACAGCTTCATCCGCAACGCATACCCATACTCTCTATTAAAGAACACCGGACTGAGGAGGATCGCGTCATTCTCCTTGGCGGCTGTCATCTTCTCTTTGTACCCATCGATCCGCCACAAAAGTCTGCCTCTACTAGCTCCACTAAAAGCGCGGGAATCGCAGTGGCTGGAGCATTTGCAGCTCACCAACTCCTGTTCATCGTCTTTCACGAACAAGTCGTCGATGCACTTTATCACGTCCTTCACCTGATGCTTCAGGCTCTTGATCATCCTCTCCTGCTTCCCGATGCTCTCCCCATGCCTCTGGAGTTCCTCAACCAGCCCCTCCAGCTTCCTCGACAGAACCTCGTGCTGCCCAGTCAATTGTTCACTAGCTCTGCACCTCATCTCCAGCTCCAGCTTCAAATCGTTCAGCCGCCTTTTGTGCTCGTCCCACACGTCGCCGATCAGAATACTCTCCTTGGCGACAAACTTCTTCAGCTCTTTTATCTCCCCCTCGTAATTCGATAGCATCTCCACCTGTTTGCTCCTCTGCTCCACCACATTGGCTTGCACAACGTCCAGTCGACGACTCACAGCGTCGAAACTCGCGCGCGTGCGACCCTCCACCTGATGCAGGTCGTGGTCCAGGATCTTGAGTCTCTGATCGAACGACGAGAGGACTCTTCTCGAATTACTCGACTCGCTCGAGAAGTCCGAGCGGATCGACCTCGCGATGCTCTCGATCGTCGAGAGTCTCGTCTTCACGAGTGCTGCGTCGTCCATTATCTGTCGTCTCTCGACCTCAGCCTCTCTGACGGTCGTCCTCAGGACGTTCAGCAGGGAGAAGACCTTCTCGCGGTACTGAGACTCTTCTGATTCCACTCGAAAATTACGAGGCAAACTGCTACGCACTACGCTCTGGCCTCTCGAGCACTCTCTCTCGTGGGATCTCAGGGCTCTCCTCGGCACGTAAGCCCCGCATTTGTGGGAGCACTCCTGCAGAACTGCTCCGCAGAGCTGAATGTGCTCCTGGAGGAGCCTCTCCTCGAAGGACTCGTTGCAGAAGTAACAGGGGACTGAGTACGACACGAAATTCCTCGAGTCACTCATTCTGTTGTAGCAACCGGGGAATATTGAGTAGTTATGCCTTGGCTTCCCAAGTTTTTATTGTCCGGGGGGTTTATTTTTCGGGCGCCGGATGTACCATCGTTTGCGACGATTTTTTCGGTGCAACACGCGATGATACGGGAAGACTGATGAAGGCGAGAACGGGGTGGGGTGCGGGAGATATCGTGATTGCGATAAGGGCTTTGATACGATTTGTGGGTCAGTGGGAGGGGTGATAAGATAAGGAGTAGCTGTCATTAGGTAAATATGTTTGGTGTTAGGTTTGTGGGTGATTCAGAGTGATTAGCTTGAACGGCAAGGTGGAGAAGACAGTTTGATGGAAATTTGATGAGTCGAGGAATTTGATAACACTAGATTAGTTCGCGCGATCCGAGCGTATGTCCTACGCCGGGGATCAATGGATGTCAATTGTAGTGAATAATCTTGTGTTCAATTTCTGAAGTTAATGTCAAAGATTCCGAAAAAAAAGTTTCAGGAATGTATTCTATTTTGATGTTGATACGTCTATCCTATTTTCCTTCCTATTTTACTAAAGGTGAAAGAAACGTTAAGTTGTTTTATATCGAAATATTTCGAAACTGCCTGAACGCTAATCCTTAATTCTGATTGGTCAATATGTGACACGAAGTTATTCACAAAAAAAAACACGTGGCATTTTCAAATTCTTCGGTGACATAATTTCAAATTCTTCAGTGGTAAATTTTTTTTCACGTCATATGTATATATATAATATATATATTTCACATGTATAGATATCATCGGTGAAATTAATAAATTCTGTCCTTTTATGGAGACCAATTATTTTAAAAAATTGAACATAATTAATTGAAAATGAAAAATTATTTATAGATTCTTTTACTCTACGTCGCTATTCACTTCAATCATTAGTCGAATTCTCTTTGATTCATTATCAATATTTATAAGGTATTCATGAGAAAATGAAATTCAATGAATTCCATTTCTTCATTTCAACAGATAAATAGATCAGCGCGCGCGAGAGCGCGCGCATAGATCTTGTAGTTTCAATATGGGGGATCATTTTGGGAAACGGCCCTTATGTGCAGCGCCATCTATCGGAATTCTAGAAAATTCTAGACATTTCCAGGTAATTCGAGAAAGAAGGAAAGACCATGGACGTATCCTGCAATTTTTCTTACATGTAATACATCCATTGTGACGGTTTTTTGAAGCCAATCTATTCGGCGTATTGTGCCATTAAATTTTTTTGTCGATGATGATAGCATACATTAAAGAGATTACGATATGTATTATAAAATATGCTGTGCATAATAAAAAAATGAAATAAACTGATGGTAAGAATAATATGCAGAATGTATTATCGTAATATCTTCAATGTATACTATCAGCATTTATGAAAATCTAGTGATACAATAGCTGAATAGATTGGCTTCGAAAAACATCAAACTGGATTTTTTATTAAAGGAATTTGGGGGAATTCGAATGGAAGTCTTAGAATCTTTTATTTTGCAGAATAATTCAAAGTAATTATTAACATCTCATGAAACCTGAATTTCACTCATGTAAAGTTCAAACGAGGGAAAAGTTTTACCTATAATTTCCATTCACTCTATCGAATCTACTGATAAAACTTCTAAAGATTCTACAAATAGCTCAACATTTCGTTTATTTTCCTCACCTCTGTCGCCATGGGAAGTCCCAGTATGTATGCACATGCACAACTGAAGAACGTTATTGTGGTCTCCCAGAGTTTCATCATTTTGGTGTTGATTGCCATTATGCCGGTTATTACACAGTGCCATATTGCGAGCTGTCGAGTATTAAAGCACTTAATGATAAAAAACGTTGACTTTCTACATTTCATAGAATGTTCAATCGTCAAATGACTTCAATTATGATTCTATACGTTAAATACCGATTGTATTTTCCCATTGTTAATTACTTGAGAATTTAAGGCCCGGCTGTACTGCGTGCCGGACCTGATCTTTTTTTTTTAATTTTCAGTTTTACATAGCCCACTCAAATTTAAGGTTCCATTCAGCATTTAAAGGTCTTGAGAGGGTCTGAATGTCGAATTATTTGACAGCACGACATAATACGTAAAATTTTGATGACAGTTCAATTGATTATAGTACTATGACATGGAAAAATAGAAGAAGAGAACAGTGAAATATGAATTTAAAACGAGAATCCATTCGGAAGCAAATTGCTAATTTATTAGCAACAATAACTATACTCATTTATTAAAAAATGCAATTGATGTGAAATCCAATAGAAATTATGATATATTTCAGATGATGAAGATGGAAAAATAATGGAGATAATGTTCAAAAGATAATTCATTCAGGCCTTAAATCATCAAAAACAATCTTCGTATTTCAAATTAAGGTCCGAGTGTACTATCTTTCGAATGTTATCTGGATTTTTTTATCTTTCGTAATCCAAAATTGTCAATTGAGTGGTACATCGTGTAGAAATTCCCAAAAATTATGACAGAATGATAAAAAAAAATGGAAAAAATTCTGAACTTTTTCAAAGAGCGTTTTTAATTGAGATTCAGAGTGAGTTGAAAAAAGTGGAAATTACAAATATCTGATTCGCTGTGGCAAATTATCTATTAGCTGTCATTTTCTGTAGTGAAAAACAAAACACTAACTCCTCATGGGAAGTGACAGCTAGGTATCTCAATTTTCAAAACAGTGATATGTAGTCATCTGCCATTTTTATGTGATAAAAGTGTGATTAAAAAATTCTCCAAAATATTACAACTTTTTTCAAAGAGCCTTTTCCGTAATAAATGTCTCTGTGCAGTGTGGGAAAAGATTTACGAAATCAGTCTTCTCCCTGCATGATATTGGGTGAAAGGCCGCCATTTGTCACCCTAAATCAGATACATTTTTCAATTCATTGTTATTCACCTTATTCTGAATATAAATTAAAAATGCTCTTTGAAAAAATTAAGAATTTCTTCTACTTTTTTTGATTATTCATTTATAATTTTTCAAAACTTCTCCATGACGCAGGACTCAATTGACAATTTCAGATGACGAAAGATGAAAAAAAAACATCGAGATAACGTTCGAACGATAGTAAACCCGGGCCTTAAGGATGTTCGACACCCTTTTAGCCAAAATTGACGTTGTTTTCATTTTTCTGGCAAATTATCGATGGGAGTGACGTGAAAAAATATAACGATTTTGTGGTTTGTCATCTTTTAATGGCTCACGAAGTTGCGTAGTGGTGCGATAATTTTTATGCGTTTTTTCTACAGTTTTGTGATTCTTTTTAAAAGTTTAGAGAAAACGCAGGAAAATGTTCGCGCCACCTTAAAATTTCGTAAGTCATTAAATAATGACAAAACGCAAAAACGTTATATTTTTTCACGTCAATTCCATCATAAGTTTGCCAGAAAAATTAAAAAAACGTGAATTTTGGCAGAAAGGGTGTAGAACATCCTTAATAAATCCAAATAATCCAAGTAATCAATAATTATTTCTTTCTTCATCACAAAAAAAATGGTTGCAATGAAGATGAAGATATACACACCTGTTGAGCAATCCCAAACAAAATGAGAATGAAATAAAATAAAACAGCCCAAAAAGGTGAAACTTGTTCCGTCCCCAAAACAGCGAGTGTCGCTGGAACAAGCTCAGTGGATAGTCGAAGTGCCTGATACCCGGATTCTAGGCTGAGATCTGCCCCAGGTCTGATCGCACGTTGACCGAGTAAAAATGAAGCGTGAGACATAAATCTCTCGGGTGTATTGCCATATCCCGAGGGAGGAGGCTGGTTCACTGGGCGCATAAAGATATACCCTGATATCCTCTCTACAGCATAAATCGTTCAAATGTGACTTTGCAATTCTCATAAATTGGATCTCGAAGATAATTAATAATTTTTATTTGCCATTATTTACCGAAGGTACTCGTTGTGTAGATGTAGCCGTGGTACCTGAGTATTTGCACACAAGTATTTGCTAGAAATGCTGACAGCAGAAGGACTACGAGGGTCAGGACTATCACGAGACTTGTGTCGCGTTGGAGGAGGTGTTTATGTTTATTGTGCGCTGCAATCTGTAATTAAAAAAAAAATATTGACGTTAAAATTGAATTGAAATGAAAGCATTGTGTATTTTTGGGAAATAATTCAAGGGATTGATTGATATCTGTTTGGCGCAATTCAAACGACAAAAATGTTTTTTCAACTATCGTTTTCATCAATTCTTGTTTATCAAAAATTAAGAAAAATAATAGTTTTTATTAATTTATTGTAGTTTCATTGAAATTTCGACAACAATTGAATTAATTTCAAATGAAAGCATGTATTCTTCAAAAATCAATTTGAAAATAATAAATGACAATGAAGAATCAAGACAGGCCCTCGATTAATTGAAAAATCCTTCAGTGGATGCAGAATACGATTATTTAAATGATGAATACCTGCATTGCAGCAGCTCCAAGCAGTCCCCACGTCAGAAAAACCTCCGACGAAGCGGCAACCCACGATCTATTGTTGATGAAAAATTCATTCCAAACAGTTGCTGGAAACAGTTGATGAATGGTACCAGCGGGGGTCAATCCCAACAGCTTAGTGCACAGGACGAGAGTACCAAACACCGGTACAAGCGTGAAAACGTAGACGACTTTTCCGTACGATCTTAAACCTGTAAAAACGTCAGTAAAGAAATCAATGTTGTCTTGTCTCCACTCCAATTTTTACTAAAACTAGATTAGTCCGCGCCCCGCGCGCATATGTTCTACTCCGTGTAGGGCAAACCCACATGGGGCTAACCCCAAGACCCAAAAGACACCCAGAAACAAAAAACACCCCCCCCCTCCCCCGGGTTTTGGGGGTTAATGGGGCTTAACCCTAGACTGGTCACCATGCGAGGAAATTGCCGCAACACGTCGTTTTATTCAGACTTTAAAATTATTCAAAACTCTACTTTAGTTCCCGAAATCAATTTATAAATACAAAAATGCTCGAACGCAGCAAATGTCTTTCACGAAATTATTACAAAAAACAAATATTTTTATTTATCAAAATGTCGATAACGTTTTTCTTCAATACCTTTGCTCAGAGACACGAAGACAATCATCCAGACGACAGCCAAATTAAAAGCGACTTGAAATTTTAAAGTAACAACACTGGGATTTGGTTCGTTGAGATGATGCCTTTGTAGGACTACACCACTGAAGTAATCAGGTACAGTCTCGTGTAGTTTAAAAGGTATTGATGTGTTCACTGGTTTAGCGTCTTCTCTGTACAAGGAGAATGGTTCAGCCCATCGATACCTATCCTGTTTCGTAATAAAAGAATCTCTGGAAAAACGAGGAGGGAAAAAATGAGTAAACACTTTTGAGGGAAATGACTCGAGTAAAGTCTGAGAAATTTACCTGAAGTAAACGAACATCCACGAGATTCCTATAATACTGTAAATACCGATGAAGGCTTGTGCGACGAGCAGGGCGATGCCAACACCGTGAAAAATTGGCGATATTCTCCACATGTCGACAGCACCTGCAGCCAAACGCTGGCCCAGACATACTTGTAGCGTTAATAGGGGGATTCCCAGGAGGAGGGACAGGACCAAAAATTGTACGATGAAGTTTGCTGAAATGAGTGAAGCCCGTGTATATTATAATATGACTCATTATCTCGCTCTACATAAAAATCACAATCAATGTAAATACACAAAAAGAAACTATTTTCCATATTATTATTATTACGTTATATAATTCCGATAAAATTTTTCATCTCTGATTTTTATTCTTTGCTATTTTTTTAATGTATTCTATCAATATGTGAGGATAGAAATTGAACTGATGGGTATTCTTCCATTATTTGAAAAAATATATCAATTTTAAAACTCCGGAGACATTGCACAATTGATATTTTTATTTTCTTGCTGATCATCTTACTTTGCATTTTCCTTATTCCGTTCCATTGGAATGAGATTAAAGAGATGAAAAATTTTCATATCCTTTGACATTAAAAAAAATTGGTACGTCTTGATTTAAGGAAAAAAAAATTATGATCAATTCCAAAATTTTATGGGTACATTGAGAAATGTCAACGGATAGACATTAGAAAGAGTAGGTGTTTATCTTAAAAGTAACGTCTTCAGTCATGGTCAATTATACGTGGCATTGTCAAGAGTGAGGGCAAGTGAAAAACTGAAAATATGCATGACTGAAGGAGGTAAAATAAAAAATGAAGTAGTTATATGAAAAATGTAGTACATGAAGAAATTTTTGAACAATGATGTAATTGTAAAAAATATATAGATCATCATCCCAAAAAAAGTATCAATACTCTCCTTATTATTCAACATAAATATCTCTTTATTTGAAAATGAGAAAAACTGTTCCCACAATTTGCATACTACAATGGGAATAGAATCCAATGAATTTAATTTAATCTAACCGCAAGGAAAAATTGGAAAGAAAACAATAAAATAAATTAATATAATATAATATAATCTAGCGACGGGCGCGAAGCGTTGCAAATGTCATTACGAAAATTTCATCATCTCCTTTAGATTCGGAAATATTCATCAATAACTCAACTGGGAGATAAGTCGACTTAAACCGTTTTCCCACTTCGCTATTGAAATATAATTGAATGAATAGGACTTGTTGTTAGTAAAGAGCGGATATGTCTTCCGAGCGTATTAAATAAAGAGTAAAAATAATAAAGTTTCTTTTTCGTTTATTTAACCGTTTCGTTACTCTATTTCCAATAATCACAAAGTTCTGTTGATTTTATTTGGAAATTGATGTAGTAAAATAAGTGGGAGTTCGAATAGATTTATGAAAGTGAATTAAATCTATCTCTGAATTTACACAAATGATTTGATCTAGGCGACAATACCGCTTCGGTAAGATTTAGCCTGAAGTCAGAATAGACTTGTTGAGCCTCCACAGGTCAAAGCCCGAGTATCCTTTTGTCCTCATTACTTCGGTAACAATCTCAGTCCTCTAGCCCTATGTTCACGTGGAAAAATATGCCGCTTCATTGGAAAGCAATGAAATGATCAATGGTTTGAGCTGTCGATTAGTTATGAAGTAAATCATTCAAACTTTCTTAAATCTAACTGCCTCAATTATCGATTAATGAAATGATTTGAGATTTGAAGGCTTGACTATTGATTGATGAATTATTTAAAAAATTAGGAAAATTGATTAATGATTAATTTAACAGTGGAAATTTATTTGATATTATCAGCTGATTATATATGGCTTAAAATAATGTTATATTCGTTTTTGTTATTCCGGCCGTTATGATAAAAAATATTATTCGTCGCACGGCCTAAAAAAACTTTTCTAGCTCATGTGATTGCAGCGCATATTCGCCAGAAATTTTTTTTGGTTTTGACGATGCCTGATCGTTAATACCATTGTTATTTTTTTGCAATGAATATTGAAGATGAAGAGACTTACCACCGAATTGAACACTGAGTATTGCGAACCTACTGATGTTGAAAAGGCCAAGTGTACATCCTAAACAAGCTAGGGCTGGGCTCAGGGCGTGAGGCCACTTCCCCAGTGGGTTCTCCTCCTCATCCTCCTCGTCACTTCGTTCAGTTTCTCTGTCTGATTGTCTCTGCCTCTCGCAGGTTCTGGAAAATAAAAAATCGGATTCTCCGATTAATTAATCGAATCAGCATAAATTGATGAATGCACTAATAATAATTCATGCAAGGAGCTTACTATCATTCGACTGAATTGAGTCGATAACGAGTTTTACAAATTATTCAATTGAATCATGAATTCATCTTCCAGTTAATTTTTTTTATCAAGCAAAAATAAAAAGAAATGAAGTGGTTTGAAAGAAAAATTTGATTCTTCGATTAATTAATCGAATCAGCATAAATTGATAAATGCACTAGTAATAATTCATGCAAAGTATTTACAATCATTCGACTGAATTGAGTCGACAACAAGTTTTACGAATTATTCAATTGAATTATGAACTCATCTTCCCCATTATTTTTTCTATTAAACAAAAATAAAAACAAATGAAAGTAAAAAAGTAAGAGTAACAAAGTGGTCTCATGCATTTGGTTTTATTTTTATTTAATAAAAAAAATAAAGTAGTTTGAAAAATAAGAAATTCCATTCTTCGATTAATTAATCGAAGAATGGAATTTCTTATTTTTCAAACTACTTTATTTTTTTTATTAAACAAAAATAAAAACAAATAAAGTGGTTTGAAAAATGATGAATCTCATTTTTTGATTAATTAATCGAATCAACATAAATTGATAAATGCACTAGTAATAATTCATGCAAGGAGTTTACAATCATTCGACTGAATTGAGTCGACAACAAGTTTTACGAATTATTGAATTGAATTATGAACTCATCTTCCCCATTATTTTTTCTATTAAACAAAAATAAAAACAAATAAAAGTAAAAAAGTAAGAGTAACAAAGTGGTCTCATGCATTTGGTTTTATTTTTGTTTAATAAAAAAAATAAAGTAGTTTGAAAAATAAGAAATTCCATTCTTCGATTAATTAATTGAATCCACATAAATTGATGAATGCACTAATAATAATTCATGCAAGGAGTTTACAATCATTCGACTGAATTGAGTCGACAACAAGTTTTACGAATTATTCAATTGAATTATGAACTCATCTTCCCCTTTATTTTTTATTGAACAAAAATAAAAACAAATAAAGTGGTCTCATGCATTTTGTCTTCAGTATTTCATTCAACTCGTTGATTTCAGTTGTTCTTTCGTGCCCAGAGGTTTCTCACGATCGATCGCGCTCGAGTAGTCAAGCCACTGCGGTATGTGGCTACGAACTCGAATGGTAGAGCAATCGATGAGACGTGAAAAACAAGTACACCACTGGGTTTTGTCCCTTCTATTGCGTAATATTGAATTATACCGGTTGATCCGAGGAGTATTGAGCGATAAACAATCCTAATCATCAGAAGCATCATCTGCGAAGATGAATTGTTCAGTTGAAAAAGGAAAATTGATTTTCTGTGCTGCTTCTCACGATTTCTCGTCTGGGAATTGGTACTGCATGTTTTCAAAATTCGAAAACTTGAAAATCACTACAAAACAATCTTGCCCCGGGCTGCCGCGATGGGGTTTTTTTACTCGTGTGGTTGGCCAGTCCTCGCCTTCGGCGCGGACGCCAACGCCACACGAGTAAAAAACCCCATCGCAGCAGCGCGGAAAAATACTATTCTTTCCGAATGAATAAGACATTCTATTCGACTTTTCTGTGGATTTCACGTAAAATGCTTTGATCATTCGAAATAAATGACAATTATTTAATTTTTAATTGATAAAGACTTTATCTGGGTCGAGAAAACATTTATTTATGTTTTTTTTAAGTATGAGTTCGATGTGAATAATTTTTTTTTAATTTCTTCTTTACGTTAAAAAAAGTTGAAGAATAAAACATCATGAAATTTTCATTTTTTCAATAGCGTTAATTTTTTATTTAACAGAAGAAATTGAGTAATTTCAAATTCCATACAATTGATTTTGCGAAAGATCATATTAACGTTAACATCAGATCTAACGGTCGTATAAAGCTAATCTAGGGAACATGAAATCTGAACGATTTGGTCTCTGCAGAATGATTTGGACCGAACTTTTGAGGACAATTTTTTTGGCGTATACGACCTTTTTCCACAAAAATGTCTTCAATAGTGGAGAAATGAAAAAAAAATCTTTTCACTGCTTTCTCTTTATTTTTCTGATCTTCGGTCGTCCTTTTAAAAAACTAAACATTATTCAAGAGAAATTTCTATTGGAGAAAAATTTGTGGAAAAACGTCGGACGCGCAAGAAAAATTGTCCTCACAGGTTGGGTTAAAATGGTTCTAGATGGGGTTTATACGACCATTTTCCATTTATCACGCGCCATAATATATTTGATTCAAGTAAATTTTATACTCGAGTGGGGGATGGGTGTTTCAATTCGAGAATGATTATTTCGTATCGCTCTCAAGTGTAATATAAGGGTCAGACACTTGGTGTGAGAAAATAAGGGTCAAAAAGTGGAGGTTAATAAATGAGGGTCGGAATATTAGAGTGAAAAACTGAGGGCCTGAATGTAAAGGTGAAGGAATGAGGGTCGGAATATTAGGGTTAAAAAAAGAGGGTCAGAATATAAAAGTAAAAAAAGTGATTCTGACCCTAATGTTTCGACCCTAATATTCTGACCCTCATTTTTTAACCTCCACTTGTTGACCCTTATATTCTGACACTCAGTGCCTGACCCTTACATTACACTTACGAGGGCTTGCTACAACCCGGCCTGATACAAAAGCATCATCTCCGAATTGAAATGCCCACCCCCAATTGAATATAAAATATACTTGAATCAATTATATTTCAAACTCACTTCAGGTATATTTTTTCCGCGTGTAACTCCCCCTCAGGTTTGAACAAAAGCTGCAAACAAAGCTACAAACTCACCCAGGCTAGTGCTACCACCCCTGATAGATAAAAAATAATGAGCAAAACCAGGACAGAAGGAGAACGAAAAGGTATGCGGGCGTCCCGGAAGTCGGACGTCGCGCCTTGCAGATTCGAATAATAAACCCGAGCCGACTTGTCCTTAGTATCGCCATGGTTCACTTATTTCCAGCTGTACTCCATTACACCCACTGTCACGTGTCCCTTCGCAAAGAGGCCGATTCATTCATTCTCAGATTTATTCGTTCACTTCCGTTCGGCTACTCCATTAGTTCCCCACTAATTTATGAATTTCGATCGATGGAATGGGTGAACAGAATCGATTCTCGGGCTTAGCCGGAAGGCATGCTATGATGGAAGAGGCTACGATTTTTCTGCTGTGCGATGATTCATTGATTGCGAATTGATTAACGCTATTTAGTGAATTGTTAACTGCAGAATTTAACCTTGCGAGAGGGGCGGGAATTCATCTGGGAGGGG